AGTATTGTCTTAAAGGTATGTTTACCTAAAACTGGGCTTTATTTTACTGATAATGTGGACATATGATTTATTTTCTTTTGAAAAAATATGATTGTAGTGTCATTCTTGAGTTTATGGCTTAAACTTTGCATCTGCTTATTTTAGACATCATCACTATATATAAGATTTTTGTATGTAAATTTCTGTTAGTGAATTGAGTGCGTGTAATTTTTTTAAATCTTATCTATAGTTACTGAATAGGTGTATGTGGCGCGCAATACATGTATCTGTATTTGGTTTGGTTGGTGTCTAAAGTAGTGGCTTGCTTGTGTTTTAGTGTCATTGGTCGGAATGATTTTCTTCATCATGATTTTATGTGCCACTTCGGTATCTGGTAAAGAGTTTCATGTGTTGATAATTGCATTATGTTTGATGATGGGTGATGCTACTTATAATTGTTGAGTAGAAAAAAAATACGAAAGTATTATGAAGTATCGTCTATATAACGCATTCGTTTGCGAATTGATGTTGAACTATTGTATAATTCTACAAAGATGAAATATATACTTTTAAAGACCTAATCATTAGATGTTGATAAAACTTGTAAACTTTCTATAAATTAGCATGTATACTTTGTTAATATAATTTGCTTTTTGATATTAATACTTATAGACTATAATGTCTGGTTTTTATACTGGTATTTTTAAAAAATTTCAAAATAGCTTCTTTATTATGTCTTATTACATGCTGAGGTATAGCTATGTTAAAGTTGATTCTATAATGTATTAAGTAAATATAATTTTTGTGAGTTCATAAAAAGAAAACTGCAAAATGAATTTAACAGATGCTGTGTTGAATTAAAAGTTAGATTTTGGATTTCCAAGAGATAATTATACATTGTGGCTTTCCACTAAATTTAATTCAGAATAACCTGTGTACATTAAACATCTTGTTTGTGGTATTCCACTTACAAAGTAACTTTAATTAATAAAACAGAACAATGTGTTGAGATGAACTCCGCTCTATTAGGGCATAAAATGTGGTGTGAAATTTTATTATTATTTCGATATATACAAGGGAACGTCTCACTTTATGGAATAAAGTAAAATAGAGGAGGAGGTTATGTTACGCTGTATTTTTTTCATTTGATTCTTTCAAAATACTTTTCGTAAAATTATTATATTTTCTTGTTTATGTTATAAAAGGTTTTGAAATTATTGAAATTCAGAAATATGTAAACTATCAATTAGCCAGACCCCTGACATATTTATTGCAATTTACGTGTCTGACACATTTATGTTTATTTACGTCACATGTATGACAACGTGATTATTATCATTAATTTTATCTAAGACATTTATTTGAAGTTTTCTTATCTGATTATCTGTTTAACTTAAAGAAAGGAATTAACAGGCCGCTGACTTTTGACATCTGGCGTGTTAATCAGTCTTAATCGAACCATTTTTATTGGTCAAATATTTAATTTCATATTTGATAAAATGTATTTTCATTGGTTAATATTTTCCTGTTTAAGGGTAATTTTTTCATTGGTTAATTATTGGAACCTTTGTTACAATTATTTTTGTATTAATAAAAGAGACAGAACTTTTTGAGATAGAGGGATTCAGGCAGTCAGACACTTAACATGTGACGGTTTAAGTCCGCAGTTTTCTGCGGTGCATTTTAATGTACATGTACATATATATTTGTTATTTTGACCGGTCAGAACTGTTGATGTAAATATGAAAATAAAAGGAAACTATATTAAAAATAGAAAAATGGACTTACTGAGTTTTGTGTTTACATATGATGCCAAAAGGATTTTTAAATTAATACCAAAGATGAATAGACAAATGATAATTACAAGTTTACGGAATGTTATTATACTACGGAGAAATTAAATACGGCACAGAAATGTTTTATTTATTTGTAAGAATATCATGGCAGACGGAAACCTACCCCTACCTACCCCCCTCCAGTACCAACTGTGAAACCCCCGCACCACACCTGTCACAACATTTTAATGGTCTGGATCTATTATCAAACATTGTAAATGATACCCTGAGTGATTCTGATGTTGAAATGTATTTTAAATTGTATATTCTTTTATATGCTGATGACACTGTTATATTTGCTGAATCTGCTGAAGAACTGCAAAAAGCACTAGATGCAATGTCAAATTATTGTCAATTATGGCATTTACAAGTTAATCCTAGTAAAACTAAAATTGTTGTTTTTTGTAAAAATAAAAGAGGTTTATGTAATATTCCAGCCTTTAGTTTTGAAGGTAATTTGCTAGAAATTGTTGATGATTTTTCATATCTGGGTGTTAAGTTCTCTTATAATGGAAAATTTGCTAAAACAAAGAATCATTTATTAGAACAGGCAAGGAAGGCTATGTTTTCAATTATAGTTAAGGCTAGAAAATTGGATTTGCCTATCAGTATGCAAATTCATTTATTTGATAGCATGGTAGCACCTATATTGTTATATGGTAGCGAAGTGTGGGGAATTGAAAATGTGAATATCATTGATAGATTTCAATTAAAATTTTATAAACTCATATTAAATTTGAAACAAAGTACTCCAAATTGTATGCTTTATGGAGATTTAGGGATATTACCTTTATCTATTCATATAAAATGTAGAGTTCTGTGCTTTTGGAATAAGATTTTAAGTAGCAAACAAGAATCAATAAGCCATATATTGTATGATATGTCACACTCTTTGTATTGTAGAAATGTGTTGAAACTCCCATGGATGAATAGTGTTTGTAAATTACTAGATTCACTGGGTTTATCAAATTTTTGGATTAATAATGTTGCCACTTCTCTTCCATTGTTTAAGAAAATTGTTAAAAATAGACTGAAAGATCAGTTCATTCAAAATTGGCATAGTGAAATGTCACAATCAAGTAAATGTCTGAATTATAGAATGTACAAAAGAGAATTCAGATTTGAAAAGTTTTTAGATATTTTACCATCTCATTTAGCTTTGGTACTATTGCGCTTTAGATGTATGAACCATAAAATGCCTATTGAGTCTGGTAGATTTTGTAATATACCAAGAGAATTAAGAGTGTGTAATTTATGCAATAATAGCTCACTTGGTGATGAATATCATTATTTATTTAATTGTCAATTCTTTAATACTGATAGAAAAAAATATAATACTAGAGAGTATAGTACTAATGTTAATTCAATCAAGTTTTCTATGTTAATGAATAGCACAGATAGGATTATATTGTTAAAACTTGCAGTATTCTGTAAAAAAAAATATTTCAGCATTTAAGTAACTGATAACTAAGCTTATTTTCATAATGTAACACTTTCATTTTTTATTTATATTTGCCATGTAATACATCAGCATATTTCGTGGATATCTCTTTATATGTCATACTATATGTATATATTATTGTATATGTGACTGATGCCTCTATGAGGCCCAGCATTTTCAATAAACTGTTCAAAGAGAGAAAGAGTGACAATTATATTGCACCCGTAAGATAAAATAAAGATATGACTTGATTCTTGATAATAACCGAAAAAAATTATTCTCCATTTACACAATTTTTAGGAGACTAATGATACAATATTATAATTATTATTTTCATGTTGTAATTTTTATTTTACAAAATAAAGCAATTTTTTTAATGTAATCATAACAGGCCTCGACACTAACTTTTTTAGCAGGTGGTTAGCCGGACCACTAGATTTGAAATTAAGGTGGTCCTTCCAGGAGTCAGGTGGTCAATTATTATTATGTCATTTTACTGCAAAATTAGAAAAAAATATGTTTAAAATTGATGACAAAGATGTATCATTAACCTTAAGAAAACAGATATTTTAGATATATATTTTTACTAAATACTAGTAAAGGAGAGCAAGTTAGTAGGTATTTTATCATAAAGTTATTTGTTTTTTATATATCATTCAAAAATACACAACAGGGCTCTTATTTATGTTAACTTTTATATTGAAGTGATTTCTCTCTCAACTCAAGTTAGGGAATAGTGAAACAATTTGTGTCTGTAATTTTCTTATTCAATTTGTTATTCATATATTCATTGCTGATATGTGGTACGACTTTAATTATGATAATTACATGTATCTTTTATAGATTAACATTTTTAATAAAACTAATAAATTATCTTAAAACAAGGAAATAGCTAGAGGATAAAAAATAATACTAATGTTATATATAACTATAGTTTAGCTTATTTTTCTCACAGATGTATAATACCGAATTTTTACCTCCCTGTTGCTTGTTGGTTGATATTTATTTTTAACATGAGTATTTTTAACCTTTTAAAGTAATTTTAACTCTGGAGGAAATGGATCTCTATCGTTAAACAGTTAAAATAAAGATAAGTAGCAAAGAATTACTAGATGTATTATTCCAGTTCCTTTTGTTTGCTGCCATTATTTAAGTATATGAAATTTTGAGTTTATCTTATATCCCATACAATATCATAATTACCATCGTCGGATGCCCACGGTTAATTAACATGTAATATAACATAAATGTTACTGGTTCCACCGTAGGTATCCGACGATGCATAATTATTAGCATCGTTTGAATGCATTTTGTACCTTAATTGATATCACAATTAAAGTCTAAACTCTTTTAACTTGCATAAACCAAATTTTAGCGACTTAAAATGAAAGTTATAGATGACTTAAGAACTTTTTTAACTAATCAGATAATTAATGAACCATATACATGTACATCGGACAAATGATTTTAAAGAAAATGTTTATAACATGTTTTTGACCAAATCACCATTCTCCCAAATGAGTCTGCACCAACCAGAAAATTCAAGTGGTCCGACGGACCAGCGGCTTTTAAAATTAGGTGGTCCTTGCCAAAATCAGGTGGTCTCGGACCAACGGACCACCGCTAATGTCGAGGCCTGCATAATATCTTCAAATTTCAATGCATTAGTGTACGTTTACTTTTTAAAAAACGTTCTTTTCGGTAGTTCTTTTGCGTTGGCCTAAAAAATGCACTGAAATTGTTTTTCAATTGAAGAGCACATTGTTGATGATAACAACACTTCCTGTCAGTGCTTGCAAGAAAAATTATCTTTATTGATTTATTTGATGTAAGAAGTATGATGACAGTATTCAAATAATTCCGACGGAGCTGCAGGGAAAAGTGTGAGTATGGGTAAATTTGGTTGACAGAATAAGATAGGTTTGAACATGAACGAAATGCACATGCTTTCATGTGTGAAAATGAAAAATTCCAAATTTTATAAAACATGTAAAATGTTTAAATGCTAAGATGATAACTCTGATGAGTACAACTGCCAATATTGTTCAAGCGACTAGAATTTCTTTAAACTGTGGAGAGAGTTATTTTATTGTTAAGGTGACAACAGACACTTTCCGTGGTACTCAGATAAATGTCATTTAAACCAACTTATTTTAGTAATAATTGTTATTTATTTAATCTTTGTGCATTAAATGTCGTTGATCAACATAAAAAATAACATATTTGAAAAAAATGCCTTTGTAAATGATTGATTTTTAATAAAAATCCTAAAATTTTAAATCGTCATATCAAAGTCATTTTTTATTTTTTTGTCATCAAACTTTAGGAAAATAAACATACTTATAATATCTGGGGAACCGTGTCTCAAATTTTTTCTATCTTTTCTCAAAAAAATATTACGTAACGTCAAACATTTTATGCGACTTTTTTCACCATACATATTACGTAATTAAAGATAATTAAGTCGCTGATTGAGCAAACAAAAATCCCTGACACGGTTCCCTCCGTAAATAAATTCCCTTTCATGTGCTTTAAACCGCATGTTAATTGCTTGATTATTAAAAAAGTTATGCCGATTCAAAGTTAGTCCGACCCGCATCAAACGAAGTGTCATAAATCGGATGTTCTCTCTCGGACCCCTACGTTTCACGCTAAATAATTGCATAATACACAAATATCGCACCAGAGAGGGTCACAAGTTGCGCTAACATACTCTAACAACATTTTATGACCCAGTGACATCTGACCAATTTAAAAAGTTGCTGATTAATATCAGTTTATAACAGAAATTTCTTCAAATCTTAACGTGATTTACTGTCGGTCGCACATGTCACGTGACTTTCGGTAAAATTTGAGGCACTCGGTGGGGGGAAATGGAACGTATTTGCGCACCGCTTGCGGGGTATTTAATTGTTTCACTTTTGAAGATTATTATTATTATCATCAGCATTATTATTATATTATACCAGTGTCACTCTGTCTGTGTATTCGTATATGAAATTCCATTAAAATATAAATTAAAATAAAGAAAAACTGAGCTTCTGATGGTTTTTTAAAGTCCATGGTAAATGTAAAAATAAAAACGAGATATTATATATTCTTTCTCCAAATTGAAATAAATGCTTGACATATTATAATAGAAACAAAAGGTATCAATCGATCATTATGATCTGACCTTTATGACTTCTTTTATCATGAAAATCATCTATGCACGGCATAGATATCCAGTTTCTACTGGGATATACAATATAAATTCCATACTTTGTCCCAGGTTTATTAGTACTGTGTTCGATTTACTGGCGAACAATTTATTCAGAGCATTCACTGATAGTGTATATTAATATCTTTTTTTTATTGATTCATAGAGAAATGATCATCCTTAAACAATCTAAAATGGTTTAGAAATTTGTCAGGGACACCTTACCACAAGTCATATAGGCGTTCACATAAAAAATGTTGTCGGTTTTTGTTGTTTTGCTTGACATTGTTAGAAAACGAGGTCGAATGTAAAGCAAGCCGATGAATCCGTACAAAAGTCCAATGTAATATCTATCAGATTAACGGGACAGACAAATTATTTTCACACATTATGGATATTTTAGCAACTCTATTTTAAATCAACCCGTGGTCGTGCGATTTGCCGCTATGCTTAATTATTTATGTTTCATACATTATGTTACGTACATTGGCCGACAATTTCTTATTTTAAAAAAATGCTTAATAAAAGGTAGACGATATTCATAAAAGATGTAAGGTATTTGTACGATACATGAATTACGAGTAGATGGACCAGTATGGACGGGTAATTCACGGATATATGGAACTACCGATTTCCCTCATTGATGCCTCAACAGGGGGCGGAGCGTTATCGATAATTGACAGATTACGCGAATAGCAGATAAAAATGGTACAGGTACCGTTTTAAAACGTTTAAAAACACATTTTTTCGACTAACTGCTTCCAAAATTAAATCACGAATGTGTTCAGAAAAGGTTGATAAATCTACTAAGCAAAGAATCTCATTTTAGGTATTTTCAGTAATAATTGACTCCGTTGTCACCTTAAATGAAATTTCAACAGTTGAAGGGTCAACTAATATGTAAAGAGAAATTCAAAGGACATAGAAGAGTGTTGACAGTCATCACTGTTGTACAGCGTCCACCGGATATAGCCCCTAAAAACACCGAAAACGAAAGTAGAAAGCTGCACAACGAGTACACCCATGGTGATGTTTTAACTTATTTCTTCATCATAACTCCTTCGATTTTTCTAAACTAAACAATTTTGTGAAGCTAAATGTTTTTTGGTTTTAGAGCAATATTTGCTTTTGTCTACAAATTGAATACTTTTTGTTAACTTGACGAAACATGTAGCGTATTTGTTGACATGTGCGAACGATGTTGATATTTACCACTAAATCAAGCCCAAAACGCATTTGCTGTATCAAAATTCGCCGTTTAACACAAATTATAGTCATCCCTCTACTTAATTTGAGTTTACACCCTTCAACTCGAGCTGCTTTTAACAAAATTTGCAAAAAACGGCCCTGCCTTGTGTACAGAGTCTAGCAAAGGAAACAAATTTAAGTGAACGGGGTGTAGTAGTTTAATATACAGGGTTTAGTAGATGTGAATGGTGTCTAGCAATCACATATTTTTTAAAGTATAGTCTTTTTATAATTTCTAATTGGAAATAATCTCATTTCAGACAAAAAATGGATAGATTAAAGGACGATATACATGTATAATTTACCTACACATAAAACAGGAGGCTAACACTTTTCCATCTACACCCCGTACACATCCGTGCTAGACCCTGTACACAAGGCAAGGCTGTTTTTCGCAAATTTTGTTAAAAGCAGCTCGAGTTGAAGGGTGAAAACTCAAATATAAGTAGAGGGATGACTATAGTTTGTATTAACGGCGGAATTTGATACAGCAAATGCGTTTTGTGCTTGATTTAGTGGTAAATATCAACATCGTTTGCAAATGTCAACAAATACCCTACAAGTTATCACCAATTTAACATAAAGTATTCAATTTGCAGACAAAAGCAATCACTGCTCTAAAACTAGACATATTTAGCTTCACAATATTGTTTAGTTTGGAAAATTCGATGAAGTTATGATGAAGAAATGAGTTAAAAGTTAAAACATTACCTTGGTCGTACTCGGTGTGCAGCTTTCTACTTTCGTTTTCGGTGTTTTTAGGGGCTATATCCGGTGGACGCTGTACAACAGTGGTCATTGATAACATATTTGATTTTGTCACAATATCAAGAACATTTTTTTTTTCAATTACACATTTACTTATAGCTATTTTTTAATGGCAAACCCCTCGTGGGGAGTAGACTAGTCCAATATATCATGCAGATGTTACAGGCTTGTTATAGTTTGTCGGTCAAGCCCCAGAAGTAGAAATATTTCATAGCAACGTCATAATTATTCAACTATGATGTAATCATGCCAGCTAGTCAAAATTGCAAAGAAAGTTAAAAAGAGTTGTTTAAAAAGAGGATAAAAGAAGAATATTTAAAATTTTAAAAACAGCTGGAAAACGAGTGGGAGACATGTTCAATGCAAGCTGCAGTGAACTGCACAGGTGTAAGGAATAGGCAACTGCAGGGGTAGGTAGTCACCATCCTAGCAAAGAGAGAGAATTTATAATACTCTGATTTGCAGATTTTGTTTACACTTGGATAATCTTGTAAAATCTTGTTCTTCATGCCAGACCATGATGTAATATTTCTTTCAAAGTGTGTCTACTATGTGTTGTGTATAAAATGGCCACAGATTATGTTAAAATAGGCAGTTAATTGTTTATTTTCCAAAGGTATCCTAGAAACATGATTTTAGTTTTTATTTTTACTGATATTTACCCTAAAAGTAATCCATTTTTATTTACTGAGAAATGTTTATCAAACATTCCTACTTCTGGGGATTTTATCAAGGTGTGATGGTCTAATGGCCATGCTGTCTTATTTCCAAAACTAGGCTATGAAAATTTATGGGGTGTTTTTAAATACCCATGTCAGCTTTTGATTTGAAATGTAGACAACAGATGCCTTGCTTTTGTTCTTCTCTTATTATATCTGATCTATAAATAATGGATTATCATTTTTCTATTGTAACTGATATTGTAAAAATATAATTTTAGGTTGTTATTCATGACTGATGAAACAGTTGTTTATGTTAATGATGAAAAGTTGTGCTTAAAAACTGTGCCACTATGGCAGAAGGCAGGCTTAGGAAAAGAGACCAACGGTAAGTACCTTTGAATGTTTTTCACCTATTCTAGTTTGTTATTCATGAAGTTAATGGGAGTTTACTAAACTGCAAATGGAAACTTTTCACATGAACAGTAACATGATTGCAAAGTACCGAAAAAGCTTGTATTAATTCTTTCATAAAAATTTATAATCATATTAATTGTTAATTATTTAAAGAATTTTGTAATATTACAACTGATACTTCTTTTTGTACTAATCATAGCATTGGATAATGATCCATGAATGTTCAAGGTTCTTTATTTAAGCACCATATTATAGTTTGATTAAGAAATAATATATCCCAAACTGTGATTTTATCGCTCAATAACATCACTGTTTGGAGTTCGGATGCGAGGAATTATATCACGAGGGCGTGTGATATAATGATGCACATCCGAACGACAAACAGTGATGTTATCCAGCGATAAAATCACCGATTTGGATATATTATTTCGATTCTAACACGACATAAACAAATAAATGCTGCCGTACCTGCTATTAAGCAAAATGGCGCCTGATTTGTTTCCGTACTTATTGTCAGCGCGTCGGATTTTATAGTGGTTATGTCACATGTATAATGATTACGTCACATGTCTAAATATAGAACGTCAAACAGTGACTCTATTGCATAATAACACACACTTTCGGTTCTTCTATGTTCAATAGGGAAAAATGCGGGTCGTGTTAGAATATATTATAAAGGCATTATATTATACAGGTATGATAAACTTGTACAGGGAAGTAGTAAGCTACACAGAGATATTGAGAACCTTGAAAATGCATACCTCCTTCATCAACAAATTGTAAAGGAAGATGAAAATAATGTCAAGGGAATGATCAGGTAAGGGTGTGATATGATAATTCTCATCATTTTGCAATAAAAAAAGTAATTGTTATTGCATCTTGAACAGTAAATTTTTCTCATTAAATGTAAGCTCTTTGCAAAATTATAGTCTGAAAAAATATTTACAGATTTCATGGTTAATAATGTTTTACAAATATCAAAAAAAGAGTTCAGGTTAACAATAAAAATGAGCAGGGGCATATGTGGCCAAGATGTTAACTAAGGGTGTTGGCTTGAATTGCTATCACATGTCTTTCACTGCTCTAGGTTTCAAGCCAAGGCATGATTATTTGTTTGTTGGGGTGTATTTGAGCGAGTCTGTGTGTTAATCAGTCTACTCTATGATTTCCTTATTATTTCCTTAAACAAAGCAAAGCATTTAATTTAACTAACTTGCGGTACACAGATGTAACATCATAAAATACAGGTCAAGTTTTAATTTGGTTTCAGACAGTTTTTGACAGAGTTATGGTCCCGTTTTCTCCTATTTTTAGTGAAAAACATGGTCTTTAGATTATTACTTTTTAAGAAAGCAACACATTTTGATAATTTTTGGTACACAGATGCAATATCATATAAAGCAGACTAAGATGGAATTTGGCTACAAACCACTAATTTTCGCAGAGTTATAGCCCTCTTTCTAATCTTTTAATGAAAAAACATAGTTTTCAGAGGATTACTCTCTAAGGAGGTACTGGATTGAAATAATTATAAGTATACACATAGTATAAATATAAAATCATAAAATACAGGAAGAGTTTCAATTTAGCTACAGACCACAAAATATTTTACATAGTTAGGCCAATTTTTTTTAATATTTTGGTTTACTGATTTTTTCCAAAAAAAGGTAGGGTCGGTGGCGGGAAAAAAAAAAAAAAAGGTTTTCATAACTATAAATGTGGTGCATACATATACAGAGTACTTACAAGAGCAATGAAATTAAATACATCGCCAATTGTCTATTCCAAAGATTGTCTAAATACACAAAAATAACAACTTTTGCATACATTGCCATTGTTTAAAAACACACATGAAATCTACACACGACGACTTATGACAAGTGGCAAGCCAGCCCTTCAAAAGAATCTGTCATTCTTTGATGTTTACACACTGCTGTGTAATCTGAATCATCAAAGGTGCCGAAACTCAGCTGACTTGCACTCATTTCCTTTTAGATCAGAAGTTTAAAAAAACTGTCAAGAAAAGATTACACTTGTTCAATTATTGCACATTATGAAAATATTTTTATCGGATAATTAGCGGGTCAATTTTTGACATAAAAATCTATTAATAGTAAGTGCATTTTTTTATTTTGTTTGTTTGAAAACCTGTATTCTATCTGTTTTTAAAGACTATTATTATTTTTGTTAAATCTGAAAATACTGATCTTGTCAATTGCAGCAGATTTCTCTCGCTCTGTCCTTGTAATTGCTTACGTAATTTGGCATGGTTTTTTTTTTTTTTTTTTTGTAGTTTTTTTTTACATTTTTACGCATTTGGACCTTAAATGCATTGGTGAAATATGATCAAAGCCTAATTATAATTCTGTGAGAATGGCTTGACCCATTTAACAGACATTCTTTCATAATACACCAATAAACATTTTCCCCAACTAGCAGGCGACAAGCTATTCTCGAGTTAAGATAACCGGTTGCGTATCTCACTGTATAAATCGTATGTAAAATAGTCTGGCATATGGTAGGTTAAACAGTTAATTTAAATACTTACTGTGACGTTTCTTTGACAAGTTGTATTATACGCGGCGTATTTCAAGACAACACAGAATTTTTTTTGAGGCAGATTTTTTTTTTTCATTTTCCTAAAATACAGAGTCGGCGGGTCAGTAAACCGAAATATCAAAAAATAATGGCCTTATGGCCCCTTTTGACACTCTTTAAATAGACAATTAATTATGTACATCTTGACAGTCAGTACCATGCATAATTCTGAGTACAGTGATATGAACATTTGACATTAGTAATATACAGGAAAAACCATTCAAGACAAATATGAAGCTGAAAGGAAGCTACTCATTTTGTTTTGTATGAAGAATATTGATAACTGAAGTTCCACAAACATTCAAGACAAATATGAAGCTGAAAGGAAGCTACTCATTTTGTTTTGTATGAAGAATATTGATAACTGAAGTTCCACAAACTTTAAGACTGAAATCAATTTTCTTTACCATTTGCCATTATTTAGTTTAAGGTGGCAGGTACAGGTATGATTCACCTAAAGTAGTAGCTCAGGTTTTGTTAGATTACAAAGGACAGTGGTACTATTTCTGTACCTATAGGAATAAGTGATCTAGTCATATGATCCTATCATAACTTTTGCGACTAAAATAGATGTCAAAATAGAAATGTGAAAAGAGCATGAGATTTTGAAAGTTTATGAATCTCATACATTTTAAAGCAACACTAAAGATACTAACTTTTTTAATATTTTACGTTTTTTTTGTTTATAAGCTGAAATTTACCATTTGTAAGTTCATGGGCTACTAAGAGAAGTTTTTAAAATATGGAAACTTCAATATTGAAAAAATATTTTTATTTTCAGGAAAGAGTTAGGGGGTTCAAGATGGGCTCATGGTGGTGCTGGCAAACTCACAACATATAAATCAAGCAAAGACCTTGTTGATCAAGAGAACAATGCTCCACAGAATAGCACCAGAGTTCTACAGTCTGAAAGGTCACAACATAAATCACAAGAGGATAATAGTAAAACTAAAGTGTTAAACAAAAAAGATCAGAGTGTTAATATGGATCAGCCACCAGATACAGCCGACAAAATTCTAGACTTGAAAACAAAAGTATTGAAAAAAGCCAGTTCGAACATTATAAAAAGAGACACATGGTCAGAACCTTTGGATAACAAGTCATTAAAATCTAACAACAAGCATGTTTCTAAAGCTCTCCAACATAAACCTGAAATAAAAAATGTTGGTGTGAAGCAGAACACTTCAGCGTCAAAAGCTGTTAAGGCTGTTAAAAGAAGCAGCTCATTAAAACGTGAAACCAGTGACTCCTCAAGATCACCAGCCGTTGTTGCTGGAAAATGTAAAGAGAATAAACAAAATAAAATCCCAGTAAATAATTCCAGAAAAGAGCCTACTAAAACAATATCAAACCAGAATGGTGTTGAATCACAGAGAAGGTCAAGAATTGATATGTTTAAAGACAGAGAAGTGAGAAGAGAAAACTTAGAACATGTAAATGGTGTTATGATACCTGATGATAGTAATCAAAATAATGGTAATGAATCGAGTAGGTCTATAGGTAAAACATACACACCAAGAAAACTGAAGTCTCAGTCAAATGCCAGAGTGACAAGTGATGTTTCTCAAAGCATTTTCTTAACACAAGCACCAGAACCTCCAGAAATCTATATTGATCCAAGGAAGGGACAGGTTCGTATTTTGGCAGGGAAAGATGAAAGTTTTAATGATATTTCTAGTCTTGAAGGAACCAAAGTTCTAATACAGCCAGCTTCTGTTCATAATAGTGTTGATGGGAACAAGGTTGAATGCTCTGTTGTTGATAATTTTTCCAATTCTAGTCCAAGTAGAGAAATCAGGGATATATTTGGTCTTGAAGACTTTAACACAATGCCTAATAGGCCTGAGTCCAGAAGACAAAATATGAATTCAGGTAGCCCATTTGCAACAACAAGGCAGTGTTATACAGAAGTTGAATTCTGGCTGCGAAGTTTGGGGATTCCAGATGTTGACAAACATGTGAGAATATTTGCTGATAATGGAGTTGATTTGACAGATCTTGAATTTATGTCAGCTTCCCAACTTCATGACATGGGAGTTACAGCTTTTGGAGCTTTAGATAAAATTCTTAAGGGTATAAGGGACCTCAAAAACTTGCCTATTACGCAATTAGAAAGCATTGAAGGTAAAAAGTTGCAGACATCTTCTATTGCTTGGGAAGAAGTTGACAGTACAAAGAATAGGAAATCTTTTGAAAGATCACAATTTAAGGCCAGTAATGTAACAAAAAAGAACTCTTGCCATTCTGACACATTTGTAAAGGATAAAAATGGAGCAAGTGTGATAGGTGGAACTGATACAAGTAGATGTAATAGTGCCATGTCTAATGTTTCTGAAAGTACTGATATGAAAAATTCTGCAAGGGGAGATAATCCTTCATTTGCAGCAAGTACAAAATCTAGTAGTGCCAAATATACAGAGAAGAGACCCCCAAGTGCTAAAAATACTTCTAAGTCTAAAAATAGTAACCATTCACAAAATAAAAATGCAAATACTTCTGAAACAAAACTCAAGAGAAATAATTCCTCTGCCTCTGAGAAACTTGGTTCAAAATTGAACAACCTGGAATCTAAACCAACAAAGGGCGTTTTATTGAGACCCAGAAGTTCATCATTAACAAGAGAATCTTCAAAAAACAATCGTGAATGTGCGAAGAAGGCTGAAGATAAGAAAGAACCAAGACAGTTAAGGTCAAGGAGCAGATCAGCAGATGTTGTTAAAAGGAAAGCATTAGAAGGTGAGCTTCATATAAATTTTAATGTTGCTGTGACAATGATCTTGCTTTATAACACAGAATGATACAGTGTAAGGACATGCCAGAAATGTTTTATATATACATCTGCATCTTTCATTTCAATTATATTTTAACACTTTCATTGCCATATATTTTATGTACATTTTAACTCACAGTGACTAGTTTCCAGGAATTCCTTTAAATCTGTGCCTTTACAGTTTCTTTTTTATAACTTTTCTTCTTACTATTATCATTATTATTTTGTTTTAATTTTTGAAATTCTAAAAATTTAAAATAAAGATGAATAATAGATGAAAGTCTGTATGGCTGTTGCCTCTATGGTACAATGGCAGTAAAAGGGTAAAATTATCTGGTTTTCATGATTTTGTGGTGATTTATTTTGTTAATGTTGTATTGAATGCAATCTAAGGCGAGACCTACTTGTGTAAACATAAGTTTAAATATTGAAGGACGTAGGAAAAAAAGAATTACAGAATCATAATTATGATATTGCCCATAGAATTGTTAAAAATATCACTTCATTTACTCCTGAAATTTGGCTTGTGACCTCCAAAATGTAATTCTTATTTTTCTTTATCTATATAGTGTGACTTCCAAATTTAGAGATTTTGTCACTGACTTCCAAATTTTGGTCCTTAGTGGAAGCCCTGTTTCTTATAGTGTATCATTAACTCTACAACCTCAGACTTTCAGTAAGCAATTTCAGGGCCATCATGGCCCTCTTGTATATTTTATTTACCCTATGTGTAAACATTTTTAATACCATCCCAACAAAATAAGCCTGTTATCTTGAAGGTGTAAATGCTGCTGCCAAAAAGTTTGAAGAGAAGAAGCTGAAGTGTAAGGATAGTGAGAAGAGTTATCCGCCTTGTGATGAGAAACAGAAGCTACGGAGAGATTTGATGGCTGCCAGACATATTCAAAGGGAAAAATTCAAAGAGGTATCATACATGTATTCTGAAAAACTAAATAGTATTGGTTTCATTATAAAATATAGGTCTTATTTATTTAAAACTTTACGTCTATTTATACATGTTTATTATACCCCCAAAAACAAAGTTTGGGGGGGGTATAAGGGAGTCACCCGGTGGTCGGTCGGTTGGTCGGTCGGTCGGTCCAGACGTCCGTTGCATTTTCCTTGTCCGGAGCATAACGTGAAAACTTACAGCTGGAATTCAATATAACTACATACAATGGTCAAGCACATTGAGAGGAAGTGCAGTGCACAAGAACCATAACTCTATCTTGACTAATTACAGAGTTATTGCCCTTTGTTACTTTTCCTTGTCCGGGGCATAACTTGAAAACTACTGGTTGGAATTCAAAACAACTTCATACAATTGTCAAACACAATAAGGGGAAGTGCAGTGCACAAGAACCATAACTCTATCTAAAGTAATTACAGAGTTATTGCCCTTTGTTGCTTTTCCATTGCTCTTTTTTTTGTCTGTTGCATTTTCCTTGTCCGGAGCATAACTTGAAGACTAATAGTTGGAATTCAATATAACTACATACAATGGTCAAGCACATTGAGAGGAAGTGCAGTGCGTAAGAAACATAACTCTATCTTGACTAATTACAGAGTTATTGCCCTTTGATACTTTTCCTTGTCCGTGGCATAACTTGAAAACTACTGGTTGGAATTCAAAACAACTTCATACAATTGTCAAACACAATAAGGGGAAGTGCAGTGCACAAGAACCATAACTCTATCTAAAGTAATTACAGAGTTATTGCCCTTTGTTGCTTTTCAATTGCCTTCTTTTTTTGTCCGGAGCATAACTTAAAGACTAATGGTTGGAATTCAATATAACTACATACAATGGTCAAGCACATTGAGAGGAAGTGCAGTGCATAAGTACCATAACTCTATCTAAAGTAATTACAGAGTTATTGCCCTTTATTACTTTTCCATTGCTTTCTTTTGTCCGGACCATAACTTGAAGACTTATTGTTGGAATTCATTATAACTTCATACAATGGTCCAGCACATTGAAAGGAAGTGCAGTGCAGAAGAACCTTAACTCCATTTTGACTTGTTACAGAGTTACTGCCCTTTTTTTCTTTTCCTTGTCCAGAGCATGACTTTAAAACTACTGGTTGGAATTCAAAACAACTTCATACAATGGTCAAGCACAATAAGGGGAAGTGCAGTGCACAAGAACCATAACTCCATCTTTACTAATTACAGAGTTATTGCCCTTTGTTACTTTTCCATTGCTCTTTTTTTTTGTCCGGACCATAACTTGAAGACTTATTGTTGGAATTCATTATAACTTCATACAATGGTCAAGCACATTGAGAAGAAGTGCAGTGCACAAGAACCATAACTCCATCTTGACTAATTACAGAGTTATTGCCCTTTGTTACTTTTCCTTGTCCAGAGCATAACTTGAAAACTACTGTTTGGAATTCAGTACAACTTCATACAGTTGTCAAGGACATTCAAAGGAAGTGAAGTGCACAAGAGTCATAACTCCATGTTGACAAAAATACAGAGTTACTTTGATACCCCTTTGATACTTTTCCTTGTCCGGAGCATAACTTAAAACTTACTGGTTGGAATTCAAAACAACTTCATACAATGGTCAAGCACAATAAGAGGAAGTGCAGTGCACAAGAACTATAACTCTATCTTCAGTATTTATAGAGTTATTGCCCTTTGTTCTTTGTCTTTCTGGACTTATTACAGAGTAATTCAATTAAACTTCATCAATGGCTAACCACATTGAAAGGAAATGCAACATATATGATCCACAATTATCTTTAATTGCCCACAACCATAACTCTATGTTTCAATTCTTTTACAAGGTATTCTGTTACTAGTAACATCCTCATTTCTGAAGCAGACTTGTGGGGGTATTAATCACATTTAGTGATAGTTCTAGTTACAGTTACTGTTCTCAAAGCAAGGATACATAGTTCTGCCGTAGGTTTTATATCTTTTAGTTAATATCAAGCTTTTCCAAAAAGCAGTTTCAGAATAAAAATTGCGTTTACTTTGTTAATCTTAAGATTTGATTTTCAGATGACAACAGCAGACGGCAACAGTTCAGATAGTGAGGATGATTTACAAAAACAAGCACCTAGTGAATTTGATCAAGATCAGGGTCTAGAGAATCTTGTAACAGTGAATATACTGTCTCCTCCTGGGAAATCAGGTAAAATACTATCACATTGTTACAAGTAATATTTTCCTGTCACAAATGCCTGCAATTTTGTCATATATAACTACAATAAAATTCACAAATAATTAACCCATTTAGAAACTTTGACATGTTATAATCACTTAAAAGATTAACTGAAAGTTCACTGATTGATAGAAATATGATAGGTGTGCTCATTAATATAGATCTTCTGTTTCTTGCCACTTTTATTGATTTGGTAGATGCCAACTTTTTACACCTGCCACAGTGACACTGAAACCTTACATTCTGCTAAAATAACTAATAACATGAGTAGAAAAAATATGTTTGATAAATATAGAATACAACTCCAGTATTTGTTCTTCAGATATTGTAAAATACCATTTTATATGTGCATATGACATTTTAAACATTACTCCAAATATGTAAATTTCACCATAACTTTTATAAGATTTATGATGAAAGAAACATACTTCTATAAAATTATGGAAAAAATATGTTAAAAGTCAATCAAAAGTATATTAAATTTATTAAATTTTATTGTGTAAATGAGCATTGATGTAAAATGTAAGATTGCAAGCTTCTTTCTACCTCCCTAGTTCTAACATTATCTCCTGTAGTGGAGGTGATTGTATCAGTAGTGAATTATGTTGTTACCTTATCTCAATGCTGAAAACTTTCTTTTTCCACATCTTTGTCATTTAGTAGTTACTTTTGTTTGTTGTCAAACTACAGAATCGCATTTAAACATATAGCACACTGTTAAAGAAATACCATAAACATTGAAAAAATGAAAGCAAATATTTCTTTTTCTGCTTTAACAAAGTAACAGCATTGGTAAAGAAATTGGTGTGTGTGTGAATCATCTGAGTGATATACGTGCGTTAAACTGTTATTGCATGTAGAACATGTTTTGTTGTTTTGTAGCATCCAGTGGAAACCTGTCCTCACCTACTGTTATATATGTCCTGCCCCCAATAAGTATGCTATAGTATTTTATAGAACTTTTAAAGCTAGAGCTATTTTTGAGATGCAGAATAGGGTTGTTTTTAGTGAACTTTTTTTTCAGATTCCATCTGAATAGATTGCTTTAGTATGTAAATATGGTCAAATACAGAGTCCTGAGCACGTAATATATTTAAACGTGATCTTCCTACCCTATTATAGCACGATTTTGAGGAAATTCCCCATAAACTTTGAATTTATTTAAAATCACACAATTTAATTACAAAAGGATTTGACAAAATTAAAATTTATTGATAAACTTGTATTGAAAAGACAGATAGATTGAGAATTACTTGCTGCAAACAGCAGATAGTTGTGTATTATACTTTATAGCCACATTATGAAGTATTTAAAGTAAAGTCTTATAGTCTGTCTCAATACAAACACAGAAAATATTATGCCTTTTAGAGCTTGAGGATATAGTTCCTTAAAATAAGAAATGCCTTGGTTATGTCTTAAAACAGGCATAAAATAGTTTCTAGTATTAATTTTATAGAGGATATTATCAATTAGTTTAAATTCATTGCTTTATTTAGAGTGATAAATGCTAGTATGTTTGAAGTGGTTGATATTTTATTCACACATTCAGTTTTGTTGTAAGTTTTTTGTACTGTTTAAATTATTACAGCAAGTGTATGATAGATGTTGAGTGAGTTAGTAGAATTATTGCTGTTAGTGAAATTATTTCATGCCATATCAAAATGTAGAGTACACTATTTCACATATAAACTACATATATAACAAAGGTTTGTATTTCCTTATTCTTGAATGTAATAAGTCACATATGTTATAAGGAACAATGTAAGTTTGCTGAGTAACCTACACAAAACATTTTTTCAGATTAATTCATCATATAGTTGTACAATTTGTACAATTACAGATTAATTCACTGTATATTATTGTAAAATTACAAATTTATTCATGGTACATGTATATTTTTGTAAGTCACAAATGAATTTACCTTATTTGTACAATTCCAGATTAATTCACTGTATGTTAATTGAAATACCCTTCATTATTTGTACAATTACAGATAAATTTACTGTATATTATTTGTACAGTAACAGATGAATTTACTGTATATTATTTGTACAATTACAGATAAATTTACTGTATATTATTTGTACAATAACAAATGAATTTACTGTATATTATTTGTACAATAACAGATGAATTTACTGTATATTATTTGTACAATAACAGATGAATTTACTGTATATTATTTGTACAATTACAGATGAATTTACTGTATATTATTTGTACAATAACAGATGAATTTACTGTATATTATTTGTACAATTACAGATGAATTTACTGTATATTATTTGTTCAATTACAGATAAATTTACTGTATTTTGTTTGTACAATAACTGATGAATTTGCTGTATATTATTTTTTAAATTACAGGTGAATTTACTGTATATTATTTGTTAAATTACAGATGAATTTACTGTATATTATTTATTAAATTACAGATGAATTTACTGTATATTATTTGTACAATTACAGATCCTCGTGTGTCATCCTCTCCACATGAAGACAAGGGTAAAACGCAGGTGATGAGACCTGACATGAGGAGAAGTTTGAGAAGAATTGAACAAGCTAGAAAATTACAACATGTTAAACCATTACAACTTCAGCCACAGTCAGATATAGGTAAACCTATTATACTTATTACTGTGTATGCTGCAAAAGGTACATACACTGTATATTTACATTTATTAAGATGTTTGTAAATATACAAACAAAATGGATGTTATTTTTGGCAGTGACTATACGTTGAAACATTATCTTTGCCTTTACAGAATTATTCAGGATTTTATTCTGTTGTTTACTGTAAAGATTGAATTACTGTCTCATTTTGATACCAAGCTTCAAACTTATTTTGATTTGAAGTCATAGAGACTTATTTTGTGTAGTTTGAGAAGCAGCTGTGAATAAAATGTTAAAAAAATTTACAAAAGTTGAGTTTATTAAAATACATTTTAGAGCCTCCTCTATTGTCAACATATAAGATAACAAACAAAGACAGAGATAAAAGTCAGTCTGAGCAAGAGAGTGGTTACAGAACAGATGCTTGTACAACATACTCTAACATTGAAGACAGAGTCTCTGATATACAAAGAAAGGTTAGTAAAATAAAACTCACAACTAGGCTGATTGTGTCTTGTCAGTAAAATATACCTCTTCGGTTGTTTGGGGTCAGCATGTCAAGGTCTTAGTGACTGATTTAGAATAGAAATACTGGTTAATAATTTTCCTCAGCTTTTTAATTTTGAAAATATATGTTGTTTTTTTTTGTAGTTTTTTTTTTGGGGAGGGGGGGGGGATTAAAGGTTAATAGTGTCTGCTCAGATGGCCACTATGCTTTTTAGTGAGAGGTTTGATGTCATTTAGAAAATTGTATTATTATAAGCAAAGAGATATCAAATTTATGTAGGTATTATATATTATATTTTAATGAGCCAAATTTGCTGTTTCATAAAAACCTTTATTCCATGTCAATTTTATATTTTACCAGATTAGAAGATTAAAGTCTCGTGCAACAAGTGGAGATGATATGACCTTGACCTTGGTTCGTGACCTTCAGGAACAGCTTGTACATTTTGAAAGACAGCTCAAGGACAAGGACAGACAACAGGGGAACCTAAATAATGGCCTGGAGTCAAAGCATGGTTTGTCTGTTTGATAGAGTTTATAATAAACAACCCCATTGAGCTCATGTTTCATCCCATGAAAAAAACAAAAAACAAAAAAAAAACAAATTAAAACATTTAGGTCATATGACAAACATCATGTACTTGTTAGGGCAAACACTATCTTTTATTCCTTTGTATGTTGTAATATAGCTTACTAAAACAAACAAATTATACAGTATTGGTTAGCAATCTTGTGTAAAAGTTTAAAAGTTAAAGTTTATTTTATGTTCATATCATAATACATGTAGTTTCATAATTGCATTTGTTTTTATGGTACATTTAGAATCCAATACTCCAAGGATACCAAAACTATCAGCTAGAAGATTATCAGTAGATGAGATAACGTTATGTAACTCTAGTCCAGGGTCAGAACAGTTAGATTACAGTAGAGGTATGGTAGATGGCGGTGCTAGTAAAACTTTAGGAGCAGATGTCAGGATGAGTAAGAGAGAACTTTTAGATGAAATGAAGAAAGAAAAACAACAACATCATAGACAAATAAGGTATCTATACAGTTTGTTTGTGTAAGATTTAGGTGAACAAACCTTTTAGCAATCTGTAAATGATATTGTTTAATATTGATGCCAGATATCATTATAATGCAGTTTTGTTGTTTTGGGTGTTTTGCTACCATTTGTAACAAAGCAGAATTCAAAAATGCTATTTGTTATGTTTAATATTACAGTATCCCCGTACTGCCACTTTCCGATCAGCTAACAGATTTTTCTATAATAACTGACAGTGAAATTATAAAAATAAAATTTCTCTTACAATTCTGCAAATATTAGCATTTCAGCTAATAAATGCAACAACTTTTTAAAATTTTACCTGAATTATTATTATGAATCGAGGACAAATCATTACTGACCCATTTTCCTGTTCTTCTAAATTTCACAACCACTTTTCAATCAGTTAACAAAATATAAACTGTACCACATAAAAATTGTCATACAATGTTAAAATATAACCAGTTATGTATTTTGAAGAAATTTTGACAAACTCAACTTCAGATAAATGGTAATAAACAATTTTAACCTATTTATAATGACATTTTTCAATCTTGATATCTTTTTGCAGTAGTAAAGCTGTAACAATTGGGGTATGGATGTACATCTCAATGTGCCTAACAGAAAAAGCTTGTTCTTGTGAATTTTTTAGAATCTTAGGGTCTATATGACCCCATTCTAGTAACAGCTTTCTGAAAAGTTATCGGAGAGAATGTTTTTCCTTGTTTAAGTGACTGTTAGTTTACTGACGTATAACCTTCCAATTAAGAATTGTATGGTAAAATATGTACATTTTAAAATTATAGCTTTTGAAGTGCAGTATACATTATGACTTAATGATATTGAAACAGTTGTCTAACTTAATATCCATTTTTGCAGACTGACAAAAAACTGAGTCTGTAAATCAATTATTTTTAGAAAATTATTGCGATTTGTAACTGGGTAAATAAAGGATTAGTGGAAAACACAAATTTTACATATTTTGAACTAAAATACTGTTATTTTCTTTTTTAACGCCATAATTGACATTGCTGCTGATAAATGTAGTCAAGGTAAATACAAGATGTGCATACAGTTTGGTTACATGACAAATAAGGTCAAAAATAAAGAATTTCCAGGGGTGATTGAAAAGTGGTTGTGATTGAAAACTGGCAGTATGTGGAATATATAAAAATATGAATAAATCACATAGATGTGGTGTATGTTTGTTTATGCATGTATACAATATTACAGACAGTTGCAATGCGAGCTTCAGAAGTTCCGACATTCAGACCCAGTCTCCAGTCTAGAGCTAGATTATACAGATATCAATTATAAACCAGAAGGTATTAATGATTATTGTTTTGAAAAGACATACGAGCCGCGCCATGACAAAACCAACATAATAGGTTTGCATCCAGCATGGATCCAGACCAGCCTGCGCATCCTCGCAGTCTGATGAGGATCCATGCTGTTCGCTATCAGTTTCTATACTTGTTATAGGGTATGTAAGCAAACAGCATGGATCCTGCTCAGACTGCGCGGATGTGCAGGCTGGTCTGGATCAATGCTGGTCGCAAACCCATTATGTTAGTTTTGTCGAGGCGCGGCTCATATACTTTTATAGAAAGTCTTTAAATATCAGTATGTCAGAAACCATAAGGTTTACATGTACAAGCTTGATGTTAGAAATATGAGTGGCTCTTTACCAGGCTTGATTAAATTTTGCCCATGTGTTTTAAAGTGGCTCTGCTCCATTAGGTGTCTTCTTTTCTTATGGTTGTTTATACTTAGCAGCAGATAATAGTCATCCAATAATTGAATACATATTTATCTGCTTGTAATTTAAAAAAAAAACCAACATATTTGATCTCTTGTGTAAAATTAATAGGAATAGTCACTTGAGTTTTCAGATTTGTTTTGACATAATGGACTTTTCAAATTGTTCTTAAGTTATTATGGAAAATCAATTAACAGATATATTTTTTATATTTTATGCAGATTTGATAGGTGAAGGGACATTTTCTCGTGTATATAAGGGTGATTTTAAAGGATCAGAGGTTGCTGTGAAACAGTTGAAAATTCCCTTACAACAGGCAGATAAAAACTATTTTGCTGCAGAGGTATAAATTCATTCCTTTATAACTTTGAAATAGAGCATTTGACATCATGTACACTACAAATTGTTTAGAATGCAATGAATAATGAAGACATAATATTGTTGAGGGTTATGCCAAGGTGTATTTGATCTTGTAATACATTGAAAGTGGCAAAATATTTTAGTGTTTCAAGATAGTACATTTGTGTGTAATACTTTTAAAGGAAAAGATGATTATTTGTAATTTTTCAATTATTTTTGTACTGGTATTATAATTATCACAGACTTTAGCGGATCTTAGTTAATACATTTGATGGAAAGAGTATTTTGATGGTAAAGGGAATTATCTATAGATAACCTGTACTGATAATTAATTTGGAAATAATTCAAGTAGATAAATTGATTATGCAATAGGTTGATAATTTTATTATATTTACTGATTGGACAAGAAGATGGCTTTGTTGTGAAATAATTATTAAGAGATTTGAGTCACTATTTTACACCAGAAATTGTGTTCAAACTTTATTCTTTTGAATTTTTCTCTCAAAGAGTTAAATCTATTTTTTCATGAAACATGTGAATTTAGTTTGGTTAAATACGTCTGTTTTACTAATGCTCACAGGTTAGCCTATTAAAGGAACTACGTCATCCACGAGTGGTGTTGTTGATTGGAGTATGTACATCAGGCAAGCTTCCAGTGATGGTGCTTGAATACATGTCTCATGGAAGCTTGTTTAACTACCTACATAATCCAGATTGGTATGTGGATTTTATGTTTTCATATTATCTCAGACTTTGTAAGCATTTACGTTTTAGTCTACAAAGAACTAAGTTCTTACATTTTGCTTCCAACATATGAAAAGTTAATTGATATCTTAAGGCACATTAAATAACTGTCATCTCTGCTTAAGCTCAGAACATGCATGGTTGTAAAACAGTTGATGAGATAGACCCTGCTTACTAGTGCTTGATTTAAAATACAATATGAATTTTATATACATGAATGTATGTCAGAATTTTTACTTAAACTTTTGAACTTGTTTATATGAAACAGCAAATTCATATGAAAAATATTGTTTTGAATTTGCTTAAGTTGTGTGGTTATTATTAAGTTAGACTTTTTATTAACAGTATACAGTTCAAATGTTCCTCCCATAATAAACATCCTCTAGACTCTATTCTGCTAAGCTCTTTAATTCTTCAATTGGTAATTTAGAAGAATGAGCACCAATATATCAAAACACAAAATAAGAATGAAATAACTCAATGTCTTCAATGTTTTTGTCTCAAATTGAGCATAATGTACATTTCATGTGTCTTGGTTAATAAATAAGTTTTTGTTCTTGTATAAGACAATTTCTGTGAAATGGTACAGGTTTAATAAATGGGATACATGTATACATGTGTTGACTTTGACATTCAAAACTGGGGTGATAAATAAGTACTAGACAAAATTCATACTTAATTTTTGCATTTGTTACATTATATAAGATTAATATCAATATATGATTGTTTTATTGCAGTGATTCCCTGGACCACGCCCTTTATTATCAAATCTCCAGAGATATTGCTCTAGGGATGAATTACTTACACAGTCATAAACCAGAGGTTCTGCATCTTGATTTAAAATCCATGAATGTTCTACTGTGTGACAGTCTGAGAGCTAAAATTGCTGACTTCGGATTTTCCAAACTAAGGTACTTTGTTTTATTTATATGCTTTACTTTTAATTGATTTCATTAAAGAAAATGATCAGACCAATGCTGGGATGTATTTCGGAAATATTTACCAAATATTCATCTTACTTGTTAATCTTAAGACCAATTTCATAATATTGGAGAACATACTAATATTTGTTATCCCTGAAGTATTTTAAGATAGTCTGAATATTTAGATCTAAGATTTACCTATATATAAATGGCTTATAAATACTTATTACTTCCAGCTTCAATACAGGTCTATATGAAGATAATAGATATATCTTTAAATTTGAAAATTTGTTGTTGTATTTTCGTACAAAACTTGTATTCTTTATTTATCTACAAATAAGTATAATACATATTCACATTTGTTTTACAGACTTGATGCTGGGTTAAGATCAGGTCGGAAAGTAAAGTCAAAGCCTAGTTGCAATGCCGTCCCCTCGTGGATGTCACCTGAACTCCTAGATAAGGGGGAGATAACTGGGAAATCAGATGTGTACAGTTTCGGTATCATATTGTGGGAAATGCTGACAAGATGTTCTCCATATAAAGACTGTAGTGTTTTTCAGGTATTTAGTTTTGTCTTGTGTGTTATTGTGTGTATTACACTGTGAAAAACATACAAAATAAATCTGTATATGGAATGAGCTAAGAATAACTGTCATTGTGAATTTTTCAAACATATTCATGGTGAACTTGGCACAATGTTGATTTTTTTCTGCTGACCTTGACCATTATTAAACTGTGAACTGCTAGGTTTATATGATAGACATGTCTAACATTGAACAGTATAAAGTCTAGTAAAACAGCAGGGAATTGTATTATTTACTGATGGCACTTGTGATTGTTATGTACATTCAAGTGTTAAAAGATAAAACGTTTTTTTACTTAAACATAAATCTTTTTTTTCTTCAAGCATGATGCTGACAGTATGTATGGACAATATATTTTGTGTAGTATATAATATTTGATATCTTTGGTATGAAACAGTTTGTTACATTGAAATTGATCCGAATTCTATAAGTGTTTCTTTTAGTTGAAGAATATGTTTTAAAGAAGATATACAGAATTATTAAGCTGCAATATAAATCAAAATTATACACTTCTGATTTCTTACAAATAAATTTCTGGTACTGTAACAGGTTTTGGAGATGGTGAGAAAGAACAAAAGGCCTGAAATTCCTGATGGTACACCAGAGGGACTGGATCATCTTATCAAGTTATGTTGGGATCCTAACCCAGCTAAAAGGCCTCAGTTCAAGGTATGCATTTGACTTTGAAGTATCATATCTTTCCAGTAGATCTGTTCACCAGTTTATTTAGAAGGTGTGCTTCTATTGACTGCTGTACAGAAGAAATCTTTATTAAAGTACATGTATTATTATTGTACCTTTAAACATGCATTTACGTTACATTGCTTTACATTATACATTCATGTTAAATTACTGTACATTTTATCTTTTTACATTGCTTTACATTTGCATTGCTTGACATTGACATATGCTTATAAATTAGAACATTCATGCAAAACATAATATTGTAGAGTCTTGAACTTAAAAGTTGAAGTGATGTTAATAAATAGAGGTAATTTTATTGGTTAATTTTAGTGGTTTCCTGAGAATTAGGTACACAAGAAGATGTTTGATAATATGTTATGTTCAAAAATGATGAAAATTGTTGATGATTTTAAATGATGGAATAATTTTGATTCAGCTAAAAAGAGAAGGCAATTTTTGTCAACTTTTCTAATAAACTTGATGTAGTGAGTATTTTGTTTGCTATTATGAAAGTTTTGTATTTTCTTGCATTTACAGGATATTTTACAAATGCTGGAAAACCTTGCATTTCCACCTGCATGGAGAGAATTATTCCAGGAGGCAGGTGTACCAGAGTCTGCTCTTCATGATGTCCAGTCTACTCGCACCATTATTAGTCTAGTAACTGGTACACTAGATTCTGGGAAATCAGGGATACTTCACAGCTTTCTAGTTGCCCACACTGGCAAGGGAAATCACTCTGGGAGGAAAGACAAAGTTAAAACTGAAACAACCTACAGAAGTGAAGACATTCATACTAAGAAAAAGACAAATAATGTTAAATCAAGTTCAAGAAGTTCAGCAAAAAGTTCATCAAGGTCATCTAAGATTTCTTCCTTGGGTTCAAGTAGGTTAGGGGATTGGGATAGTGACACTGCCACTAGTGTCAGTGAGAAAACTTCCTGTGATGAATCATCTGAATTTACCTTGAAGAATTTAAGAGAAAGTTCCAGTGATGATGAAAATGATGATAAATCCTATAGCGATGAGAGCTCCATACTGACATCTGATGATGATAATATTTATTCTAAATCTAAAATGAAGGCAAATGTGCCTAAAACAGAAATAAATGTGGTAATACCAAATCTAGAGCTTTCACTGCAGTCTGTGAGAGATGAGTTTAGAGCTGAAAGACAGAAAATTTCTAAAGACACAGCAGACTGGGTCTATGTTAGTCTTGATGATCGAACAGATCGAAGTGAACAAGCTGATAATGAAAATAAAAACAAAGTTAAAAATCAAAGAGATTACAACAGGGATATTGGAGACATGAAGCTGAGGTTGTCATCAAGCTTGAGTAATAGAAGTCCAACACCACCTAGTCCTTTAAAAATTGACACATCTACCCTCAATGAATCTGCTAGGAGTAGGCGTAGAAGCAAAGCCAAAGATTTGAATCGCTACAGTGAAGAATATCTGATGCGAGAGTCTTTTGATAACAGAAGACCACCTTCTCCTGTAAAAAAGAAATCACTTACAAAGAAAATCCTCGAAATTCCAGGAAGACAATCTGGAAGTGAAAATGTTGGTCTTTCAAGGAATGAAGATTTTGTTGAGAATGTTGAACAGAATCAGAAAATTTACTCCAGTATTAAGACAGATTCTTTTGCTGAAAGATCTTATGACAGTTTCTTTGATGTGGCTGTAAAAAGACCATCTTTAAATGGGGTCAGTGAAACACAGAATGAAATTTTCTTGTCTCAACGGCAAGCAAGTGATGCAGGCTACCATAATAAATCGGAAAATACAAATATGAATGAAGATACAAGGAAAAAAGAGCAAGTAGAATCTACATATAGCAAAACCATCTCTAAAGATAATGAGATTTGTGTTGAGGATATGGAGCATGAAGTAATGAGTGAAAGAAATAGTGACATCAAGAACCATATAGCTTCAGATAAAAGTATTAACAATGGACAAAATGCTGTCAATAAAACACAAATGGTAGATGAACTTACCCTTCGATTAAAGACACAGACACCTGATATCACAACTGATAGACAAAATCACAATGACACTGAACAAAAGTATACCTATAAAAGTTTGTCAAATAAATCCAATGATCAAAAATCAAAAGAAGCCAAGTCTCGACATTCTGAATTTGAAAAGGTAGACAGCAGAGATAAAACAGAAATAAATAGTAGTAGAATCAAAACAAAAAGGTCAGAGATTGAACCTGTCAGCAAGGAGGTAAAACTAAGAAACAGTGAATCTGATGTAACATGCAGGAAAAATTCCTTGCCAATGTTTGATGTTTGTGATAATAGAAATGGATCTGTAAGCTCCAGGAGTGATAAGATTGGTAATAACTATATTACTTCAGAAAGATTGATAACTAAAGAGGGAGACACTGAGAAGCAAATGTCTAATGATTTGAAAATTGAGGACAATAATATTCAAAAATCAAGTACAAACAATGAGTTACAACAAAGAAGTACACAACAAACAGACACATTTGATTCTCTAGAAATCAGAGAATGTGAGAATCGTATTGGTATTCAACAAGTCAAAGAAAGTTCAGAATGCATTTCGAATCATTTAAGCAAATCATTAGCTGGAAAGGATTATGTATCACCAAGAGGTAAAGATAATGATGGTATAAGGGTAGTACTCAATTCTATGCTGGCTTCAAGGGATATGTCATTGAGGGGTGCAGCAAACGGCGTTAATCCAGATTCTTTGGATTCAAGTGCAACATTGAGAAATTGTACACAAATGAAGGATAAATCATGTGATGCTAATAATGATCAGGATCTGAAAACTGTTGAACAAGAAAAAATTAGAGTTAAACTGGACTTGACTGAGGTTGATGAAAAGGAAAAGAAGAAAAAACCAGTAATTACACCAAGAAGAAGTTTGATGTTAAGTAGCAACTCTATGAAAGTGACTGAGGCTACTGTCAACAGTAAGGAGAATGCAAGTAATGCTAAATCTCTTCAAGAGAAATCTACTAATGACAATGATATTGAAAAAAGTTCAATATTTAGAGCAGAGCAAGAACAAAAAGGTAGAAAGTCTCAGTCTTTGGATGGAAATTTTGAAAAAGAAAAGAAACGTGATAGCGGGACAACACCAAAGAGGAGATTACTACCAAAACAACGTGGTAGTCAGACTAGTTCTCAACCAGAAATACTAGATGATACAGTCGAACAACCAAAGAAATTAGAATATGAGATAGAAAAAGTTCAAAGTCCAAAGAAAAATACAATAAGAGTTACTCTCGGGAAAGATCCGCTAGCTCCTAAAAGAGTGCCTGATTCATCATCTCAGAAAAAAGATGTCCCATTACTTACAAGAGATCTTTCATCACCAATACCACCTCCTCCCCCTCCTCCACCTGTACAGGTTACCAAGTCAGTTTCCCTTGTAAGAAGAAGTGTACAGAACATTGCACCACGAGGCAGTATGGCCGATGAACTAAAATCTAGACTAAATAAAAGGCAAAGTGTTTCTGAGGGAATGCTTCGTGGCAACAAATCATCTGGAAGTAATGTCTTTACAAAGCAGTTGCCAGGACAGCCTGGGAAAGATATACTTGTTCCCGGGGAGAATAATGGGGCACCAAAATTGATGAAGATTTCTGAGATGAGTGACTCACTTACTCCCCAACAATCTGACGGGTTACCATCATTTGTTCTTCAGTCTATGGAGTTACAGGATCAGAAGGACAATTTAAGATCTATTTCCAAACCTCATCCCCATCAACTAGACGATCTTAGCAATGCAAGTCAGGAACAACTAACCTCAATTGCAGATATTCTAAAGAAGGTATTTCTTTTTCTTTTATTACACATGTATTTAAATAGATAATACCTTTTATTTGTCATATGCTTACTGTTGGAAGCAATACAAAGAAATGATCAGTATCAAAAACTTTGCACAATAAATATGTGAAAGTATTTTATTTTATTTATACATATATATGGTATGTTGAATAATCGTTGCAGTATATTTTGTAAATTATTATATAAACTCTGTTTACTTGCAAGTGTTTTGTTTTACAGCTCAGTTTGAGGACGTTTTTTTAATTTATGAAGAATTTGCTTGAAATAAACGGTACCCTAACTGCTTAGTAAATTTATGCAAGTTTAGATATTTTATCAGGTGTATAATTTGAGGTATTATTGTTACAGGCGGTGATGGGACGTCGTCTAGCCATGAAGGAAGATGGTGACAGTGTCTCCCAAAGTCTAGAATCTGCAGCTACTGGTTGGTCTATAGACCTGTAGAGACATAGAGAAGGGAGTTTAACAGATTTGTCAGTGCTGTCATCTTATGCTTGCGAAACATAAACACATTTATTTATGTAGAAGTGTTTTTGTTCCTATTTTTCAAGTTTGATGCCATACTTTGTTTTACTCTTGTTATTGGAATCTTTTTCTTTTGAAATTTAGAACTGTGTTAGTTTTGGTCATGGAGACATGTGGTACTATTGTAGTTCATGTAGAGAGAATAATTAGTGGTGTTTAATGTTGCCTGGTCTTGAAAGATTAAGATGATTTTAGCTCGCCATTTTATTTAATACGTTAGAGCTAGTATTTGTTAAAGATTATAGATCTTGACTTTATGATAAGGTATAAAAGGCAAGATACGAAAAAATAATTTCTGTAGCTCTCTTTTAGGTGTTCTTCATATGTAAGGCTTAGAGGCTACATTATTGTGTATTATCTAAAACTGTAAAAACAAAACTTATATTTTAAAGATGTATGCATTACATGTCAATGTAATTTGCTTGACATTTTCACACATAATTTGTTATCTTTATTATTGTATCACAATTCCCACTACTCAATTTTGTAAATAAAAAAAAATAACACAAGTTAACTTTAAAAAGTATTGAAGTTGTAAAGAATTCTTTATAGAAAGGAGAAAGATTTATAGTTTTTCACTTTTTTATATGCATTGTATATAAACCATTGGGAGATTACTTTGTTATATTGGCATATATTAATTTATTGCACTTGTTAGTAACAATTGTAGCACAGGTATTTATTTATTCATTTGTTGTATTGTTTTGTACACAAAGATACAATTATTTATTGTTTGTTGTCGGACTGTGTTCACATATATATGTGTACATAAGGGGATTAATTCAGACTAAATCAATCTGGTAATTTATTACTTTGTAATATTGTAATTTTAAGTGTATGAAGCTATATATTCTTTCGTAGTAGTTTATAAAATTATTGTTTGAAGAATACTTACAAAATACCTGAATGAAAGAAATATATTTTTATTTTCTCAATAAGTTAGTAGCACATGCACGAAATCCTAACTAAACAGTAAAAATACTACTTATAAAAGCAGGATTATATTTCGTTCAGGAATATTTTTATTCTGTGTCCCTACACTATTCATGTGTGTTAAATGAAATAGTCATTCTATGTTATGATTATATTAAGAACCAACCATAAGCTTATGGAAACAACATAATTTTACTATTAATAAATGTTCATAATAATACCTCTATACAGTTTTATACTTTAAATATGTTTTTCATATCCTGAAACAAATCACGAGATTTTTAGAATTAATAATAAGAAGCAAAAACTTGAAACTTTTGATATATTCATAGCACATTATTTTTTCGATTGTATTACTATGGTTTTCTACAGATTGGTTGGTCTGAAAATTGTATTTGGCTGGGCAGAGAAAGACAATTTTGAGACTAGCGATAAAACTGCCTTGCATCAAACTGTTGATTTACACTGCACTTTGTGAAACGTCCAATCCCTACATCATATATACATTACATGTAGTATAATATCTCAAAGGATATGTTATTAGGACTATGATGTGCAGTGTATCTCTTTTTTGTTAACAATTGACATACATTCCTAGTTGTTAAAATGATTTTATGTGATTTTGACACGATGGTAAGTGGAATATGAAAAAAGGAATCCTCCATGACGCAAAATGAGATAATGTTACTTGAATCTTATTTTACACATGATCTGTTAAACCTTTAAAATAGATGGCTACAAATATTAAGTTAAAATCATTTTCAAAAATATTGTTTGTTAACTTATTTCTCAGTAATGATTCATTAAAATACCAGTCGTTAAGTAATTGAGCATTATTTTGTTAAGAAGTTTGCTTTTATACAATCACAGTTATATCAATATGTATAATGTGTTATAATTTCTGGCATTGATTTTTTAACCAGAGGGGGAGGGAGGGGTCGTAAAATTTTGCCATGGGGTAATGCGTATCCCAAAGAGGGTTTGGCATTTGTTTGGTTCTACTCCCTCTCACTGAATCCACGCATTAATTAACATCACTGTGTGATTGTTAAATAGTCCCAAATTCTATCTATTGTCACCTTTTAGAAATGTTTAATTAACTTATTATTAAAAATTGAAGAAACGACCATTCTAATGAGGTTTATATTTATATAAACATATCTTATAGTTTCCCTTTTTGTTTGGAAAGAAAAAGTGTGATCCCCCGAAAGCATTAATTACAAAAAAATAATGTGAAAATTGCAGACTCTGATTGATTGAGTCTGTACATGAGGAAAAAATTGCAACATCCCTCTCGCCCCCCAGCACCGACTAACATGATACTCTATTTTCAATACATAAAGTGTTGAAACCAGTGATCCTGAAGGTCAAGAAAAAGATAACAGCACTGTACAGGGCAACTTTTTACAGCTGCCACTTGGCTCTTGACAACTGAAAATATTATTGATATTATTATTTTATTACAATTATTAAGATTTGTGCCCATTTCAAGCATTTTCTAAATGTAGTTTGAATATTTTTTTAGGGCAAAGTGCTTTCCTTCTTTATCAAGGTGAAATTTACAGTCTTATTTCTCTCCGTCCAATTATTTACATATCATTTAGAGGAACAAATATATTGTATTTTGACGATTTATATTTTTACTGTCTGTAGCTAGACATTCTTGTGATAAGTTTTTTTTATTTTTTGTTTTAATTTTATCTGACAATGCTAGAATAAATAAATATATAATAACTTTAATGTTTGTGCCTTAGTGTTTGTTAGCTCAACTGAACACATTAAGCTTAGTGGTCAGCTTTTTGTGTTGTCAAAAAAGCCGAGACAAGTTTTACTTTTGTAACATAAACTCATTTTATCAGCAAAAAAATCCCTCTTGCTTAAGCATATTTTAATTTTTGGGCTTCACACTGAACTGTAACATTCAATGATCACAATCTGCTTTTGGAATGCATAGCTTCACTCTTTTTTAGGAGTTTGGTAGATTAAAGGTAAACTAACAGTGTCTTGGAATTGTAGAAACATTCCTCACTCCAAAATGGAGAACCATTTGATAAGAGCCTTTACACTTCATAGGATGTTTATTGAGTAGAAGATCCTTATTGAGTTTGGACACACTGTAGGTCTAAATCAAAAAGTCCTTGAATATGAAAAGTGTTCCCGCCTATAATAACCCGAATACTTTTTTTGATACAAAGCATTCAAAGTTCAAGATTACCTTTGTTGAGTTTAAGACCACAGTTCAAGCTTTAGTTTGATTGTCCTTTTGAAGTTAAAATATCAAAGGGCTGCAGCTCTATGGTATTTTCTGATCTTTGCAATCTAAATCATACTGACAATCTGTATGTATTTTCCTGTATAAGTTTATTTTTATATACATGTAACAGTTACTATAATTCATCTTATGCTGCGACAATGTTTAGCTTTTTTTCTATAACAGTTTGAGATTGATACATATGGAATTTTGCATGACTAGAGTTGCATCCAAAAATCATTTTTCATTTTTTATGACAGCCACACTTTATCTTTGCATATCGTGGCTACTTCCTTAAAAAAGACACTTAAAAAAATTGCCTCGACTAGGATTTGAACCTTAGGCCTCTCACACTCTAAACGAGCGCGCTACCTCTGCACCACGGTGAAGATATACGTATCTACTTTGAATAAAAACGAATACATTATGTAATTCTAAATCGAGAATTTCCATTTCGTGTTTGTAATTCTTATTAATTTCGAAGTATTTTGTCCACGATAAACCTGTTGTTTAACACTGATGAAAATAATTTAGCGAAAATCTTCTCGCCAAAACAGTCCGACATGTATATATTCCACTACTCGACAGTCAGATCTATTTGTGTACTCAGCTCTGGAGTATTCGGTAATCGACATAGCTAAAATAGCATTTTCATTGATTAAAATGATATTCATCCGAGTGCATTCATGATGAACCGAAGCTTAACGGAAACAGCCGAACATTTTTCATTGGGTAAACAAGATATTCATCCGCGAAATTTGTGATTGTAACCTCATTTTTTGGGAGGCTATGCCGACCCAATGTTAATAACTGTCCGTCAAATCTTACTGCCGCGGTAATCAGGTCAAAAAATAGTACCTTGATATTTTCTAAGCTGACTCATCACTCATCACAGACATTTACAATATGAAAATATTTTCATTCTTTAATTTCATATCTGCAATTTGTAAAGATAATAATTCTCTGAAAAATTCTTGATTTTTGTTTAAATCACTACTCCGTGACGTCATACTGCCGCGGTAATCAGGTTTAGGCATACGTACGTCTGTAATAAATAGTTCTGGTATGAAAACCCTTCAAAATAATAACTTTATCAATATTTTTTAACAAAAAGCATAAATGAAAATTTATAAGTAAATGCTTTAATTTAGTGGCAAATATTCTTTATTATTTTTGATAACAATTTTCCAATTACTACGCAGCGACCAACTGTTTATGACGGGTCATTAACTAGAACGTTGCAACACCGTATTCTCAATATCATGCATGTTCTTTTGTTGTTATAAACCATTAATAGTCCTTAATATTTTTTAAAGACAAATAATTGTAAACTGTCGCTTACATCAGAGACATGGATCATGCTTGCGTGATAACTAAGGAAAAATAACTTATTAGTACACCCCAGGAGGCTGTACGCGGAAAACGGTCATAAACCGCTATATCATATAGCTGTTAGTAAGTATTTTGCATACATTTAACTAAAAATTCACTGATGGTGATGAACATATAGTTTGAAAACATTTTATTCTTGAACCATTATCGCCGAAAAAAACTATTTAACTACAAAACCCCTAAGGACCCTCCGACAAAATTCCAGCACAATATTACATTTTACATTAGGAAAATAAAAAAAGCAATACTTATATTTTCATCTTACATAATTCATTAATCAAACTTTTAACATAAAAGTATCTTTTAAAAATATGTCTGGCAATTGACAGATCCCTACTCTGATCTTTTATTTGTATAGGAATAAATTTAAACATGTGCTCTTTTGTTTAGGAATATTTTGTAGTGAAAGTCTTATATATTCACTAATCTCATAATTAGAATTAGACAGGTCAGGGATTTATACAACCAGTTGTTTAGTTAACTATGCTCATTTTAATCCCAATAGAAACATTCAAATATTTGGGGTAAAAAACATGACCAAAGTACCTAGTAGTCGTTTACCCGGTGGTGATCCCATTAAACTGATTATAGATTCGAATTGATTAGAAAACACAAATAGAAACATGTGTTTCCGTACAACAAAAATCGGAAGTAAAGTGAACAGTTAATTGACAGAAATATGTGGTCAAATATGTTTTAACAAGGAAATAATTATTTCAGAGAAAGATGCAAAGATCAGTATGACCCCGCATTGTGTAATTAGAAAGTTTATTCAATTCTAGGGCAACGCATCATAATTTGATAGTCCATGTGTAATAAAATTCAAATTTTCAATACAGATTATGAGATACATAAAAAATATTAAAGAATAAGAAGCTTTAATTAAAAAACAAACAAAAAAAAACCCCAAAAAACGCATACATATACAAATTACTTACAGTCGAGCATCGGGAAGTCATTAACATATCTTACGAAACTTAAATTTGAAAACGATATTTGCGCGCGCTGAAGTCATTAATGTTTATTTGAAAAATAAAAAAAAAGAACTTATATGTTTGTGTTCTAAAAATAATCGGCGGCATAAGAGGAATTTCTTATTCATTTTACAACACTTGAAAAATTACTACAGAAAATGTGTTGTTGTTTTTTTGTTTTGTTTTCAACAAAAGTGTGTGTGTTTTAAGTTTATTTATACTCGGCGCCGGAATAACCATATGTCCGAGATTATAGCATCTGGGACGTCTTTTTCAAGCAGATTCTTCCTGGAAGCCCATTCTTCGTTCTTTGGTGGTAAAGGAGACGACAATACCGTCAAGGCTTCAACTTTCTGACCTACGACAACAAAAACGGCATCCATTAGCGCCAAACCTCCAGAGTAAGTCACGACAGGTCAACCAATCACCTCTGGTACTTATGATGACTTGACTATGACCTTCCGTGTGCCTTCTCCGCGACGTGCACGCCTCTGGAGGGATTTGGAGAAGTTTCAACAAAAACTTCCAAACACGCCATTTATAACACCATTCATAACACTGACGGCTTCGATGTTCTCATCTATTTGCGGGAAATGGTCGACAGGGAAAACCCTACGTAATAACCGCACACCCTGTTAAAACAGATTTTCCGCAGTATATATTTCAAGCTAGTGAGGTTTAAAAATACACGTAGAATCTATCGATTGAACTACCATAAGTTGGTTGAGTGTTGGCGGTAAAAAAAAAGAAGATATAACTGCCTGATCAATTTTCACTTAGGTCGATTCAGTTTTGAATAAGATTTGCAGATATGTATTTTTTCAAGAAATATTTAGCTTTAATATTATCCGACGCCGTCAGTAATGAAATGGGAATAATTTTCTGAAACGTGATTTTATTCGAGATTTGCTTCTGGAGAAGACAACCTTCTGTCCGTATAGCATGAATATTAATACTCATCACAAGACAGTATCTTATTGATCTCAATTATGGTACATCTAAATGTGTATAATTTTCATGTTCAATAAAAATGTTGCATCACTTGCAGTTGTTATTATCATTCAATAATATTAAAATGACATAAAGTATTTATGATGAACAGTCCTAGAATATTTTGATAAGGAACCGTCAGTTGTAAAATGTTATTGTTATCTGATAATGAACAGTCGTCATACTTGCTGGTATGTCATTTATTATTGACAGTTTAGGTTTTTCAAAATTTGCATGATTAACAGTCCGAATGTAGACCTCAATGAAATGTTCTGGAATATTAACAAAATAAATAGTCAACCACATTAACCATATATATGAATGGTTGAACACAACAGTAAGGATAAATAGCGCAATGTGCATATCTTTTTATTTTGGTAGCACATTTTAAGGAAAAAGAAAAGAAACTATAAGTCTGAAACATTCTCTCATAGCCTCCCCATCAGTACATTCAGTGCTTTGATTCTATTGACTAATCTAAACTTTTAATGCACTGTAATTCGTTAAATGCCTACATTAAAAATTATTCTTTCTTTTAAATTACTGGTTTTTAAGCAGTTTTGAGTGAGAACTACTTTGGGTTGTTAGACCTGTAAGGAAATTTTGTGTTAGACCGTGGATGTTAGCTATGTATTTACTGATCTTGCGATCAGAAAATACAAAAAACCTGAAGGTGATGGTTGAAGTATGTGTAAATCACAGTTTCCATAGAATTAAATGGATACTGACTTAAATATTTGACACGTAGCGTACAAATGTAATGAGATAGTTGGACTTTATGCATTGCAGACCAATAAGGCCAAGCTTACTGACACTTTCCCGACATTGCATTCGGGTTCAAATTATTTCAGCCGATTGCATATCTTGGTCACAAAAGTTAACAATAGAATTTTAAATGTGCAAGCTCTAGAATGTGCAAGGTCGAGAGCCACGATATTGGTGTGTGGCAAAAACCTGATAAAATTTGTTCAATTTTTTTAACCCTTGGGTCAAGGTTGGCATCTTACACTGAAAGAGTGAATGATTTTGTTCAAATACACCTCGCTGACATGTCTCAATCATGATTCTTGGAGAAATAAAAACCTGTTTATGAAATCAGTACTAGAAAACATACAGTCCCCTGACAGAATAATTGTGGCTTCAAAGAAACTGGTATTTTGATTTTTTTTCTTCGGACATAAAATTATGTTTGGTAACAATTTAGAATTCTTAACTAGGGAATTGGCTTTTTCTTAAAATAAACCCAATGCTAACTTTATGAGGAACCAAAGTTTTATTGTTATATTTGTCTTGTTATCTATAACTTTCAAAGATGAAACGTTTACACGTTTGTTGCCAGACAGTAATGCTTTTACGTTTTACTTTCAAAATGCCAACACATTAAGCAGCATATTTTGTATATCAGGTATTAAGCTGATAAATCTAACTACTTATTAGGCGTTTGTCAGAATCGGTCGCGTACTGACCAAATCTTTTGCAAAACTCTATAAGAAATATCAGTTACAGGCTACCAAATTTGCATTACAACTCCATGATAAAAGTATATAAAATTAATCGAAATGAAGTACATATACGAATAATTCAATATTCACATTCAAATTTTATAACGTAAGTAGTTTAATGTCAATCATATCCATTTCAAATTTGATTGGAAAGAAAAAAAAAGAACTTTGAATTTCGTGTTTCAATGTAGTACACTGCTTTTGTCTTTCTAAATGATTAATTTCGTTTAGTGACGTTTGATTGCACCAATGACCAGAGCGAAAACAGCCGGAACTCCGATTGACATCAACATGAAAGCGACGGCAGGAGATTTGAAATAATTGGAGACGATGTTCTCACTGTCCCGGCTCATTTCCATAGCCACACTGTAAAAATCAAATGAACATTCAGTTTTACAATTTTCACAATGAACTTTCAACTTGGAAAGTGCTGAAGAGATTTGAGCTTTATCATGAACAGGAACGGCAAGACAACATTTCACCAAATAGTAGTACGCGAATGATATAGCGTCACCATATACTGTACCATTGTCTTGCACATGTTTCCTTAAGTGATCATCAATGATATCTATTTCATTTATTGAGTAACTGTACACAATATTTGATGAATTAGCAACAATTTCCAAGAAGTCTTCAAGAACACGTTTTCCCTTTCCAAACTGTTTTTCTTTCACAAGGTACGTAACGAAATCAATTTCACATGGTACACCTTCCTGGTATAACTCTTCAAATAGATTACCGGCTTTTCTCAAGTATTTGTCTCTTTCTATTGTATCTTTGGTCTTGAAGGAATATGCGCTTGAATGGTACAATGAAGCCAAATTCACTCTTAGCTCTAGAAGTTCAGGATATTCCTTTCCGAGACTGATGGCAGTTTCAAAAAAATCACGAGACAATGCTCGATCATCCATTTCAAACGCAATAAATGACAGCATAGAAGGTACTGCAATCTGAGATGGTTTTAACCATTGTTCAAAGAAATGAATTAGCGTTTTGATGCCTTCTTGGTGTTTCTTCAATTCAAAATCTTTGTACTGCGCCTCCATATGCTCCATCAGATATAACTGACAAATCGTGACAGCTGAAAGTAGAAATCCTTCATTTATTGACCGGTTTCTATCTCGGTGAAGTGCAAACTCCTTCATGTCGTCAAGAAGTGGTGAAATCATAGACCTGAACGGAACTATTTGACTGTGAAATGAAAACAACCGCTTGTCAGTGAAGTCATGTACCGGAGAAATGGGACTGTGTCTAAGAAACTCAACTTGGAATACGGCTTTCTTTAGTTCCGTTTCAGAGAGATGGCCTATTAAATTGTTCTCTGGTACGAAATAAGTCGGGACATGCTTCTTCCTTAAGCATTCAAGAAGTAAATCTATCATGTATAAGATACAATTACCGGGCTGTTCTTTCCAAAGATGTACTTGCAATCTCTCACAAGAGTAAAAGAACACCGACTTGAAAACATAAGACGACAAAACGGGTTCTGGTTTCATAACCTGATGACGTAAAATTTTGAGGTAAATGTAACATTGTCGCTGATGATCAGTCACAGCCTCACGAGCTATTCTACCTTCCGATGCGGAGAATGATATTCGCCATTCGAGGTCGGGGTCCTGACTATTCTTTGAAGGTGTTCCTACGACATGGCATCCATCTTCTATTATTGACTCTATCAAACTTGGCTTCAACCAAGTTGAATCAGCTACCCTGTCTCTCCATTTTTCAGCAATAGATGGCCATGGTGCACACGGTAATGCTAAAACAATATCACGTGAAACACCAACATGCGGATCAAACTTTGTTTCGAACTTAACAAGTTCTTCTTCAGTAATTGAAAGAGCAGGTCCTTGCATAGATGTTTTCGCTGATTCTAAATGTACCTTCGCCTTCGAATAAGCTCCTTTCGTGAAATTTGTTCTATTTAGATAAAATTTTCCGTTGACATTGTCAACTGTCAATAAATCTTTGAAATTTTCTTTTAATTCTTTCGTAAAGCATATTTTTGTGTATCCAGGAGCAACATTATGGTCGTCAAAGTAACCAGAAAAATCCGATTTCGTGTCATCCACTTCCTTTGTCGAAATCTTCAGATTGTTTGGAACACAGAGTAAATCAGTGTCGGAAAATACTTCAAACAGTGACGAATTATTGACGATACACTTTGGAATATTCAACCCTTCTGCTGTACTTCCTGTTGGTATACACGTATGATCAATCCCACTTATAACTTGTATCTTGAATGGCTTGTGAAACTCAGTTTCTTTCTTCCAGCCTATATGGCGCACGGGGAGCAATAGTTGGACAATGTAGGACAAATGCAAAGTCGATACTCCTGATTCCTTATCCAAATCACAGGCCTTGATATCGCTTTCCATCTTTTGAAAATAAAAATAAATGTTAAAATCAGTGTAATGCATGCAAACTCACATGTTCATGTTTTACAAGAGAACAGAAGTATATACATGTAACTGTTTATTATTCCCACAAGCTAGAATTTAGTTTAACTAAAGTTTATTTCAGCAAAACACCTATCTACATATATACTATCTACATAGATAATAAGTACATCATTATGGGACAATTTATGAATATGAAAAACAAAGAGAGAAATACGAATTTGTATTGCATTTCTTGATTTTCAGTATAGTAAATATATGTTATAAGTTTCAATACAGATATAAAAATATGTCGATAAAACACATATATTTCCCCGCAAAAGCGTATACAAATTCTGATTTGTCAGTGATCTGTGCCGAACAAAGATGGATAATAGTTCAAAATGACGATTGTATTAATAGACTTTCTTTTGTGCAATTCAAAGTTTAGTCGGCCAAGATATCATAAAAAAACTATAGTGAACATGGCGCTTTTGATTTACTTTGGTAAAAGTGATGATATATATAAATGTTAAGCCGTGCAAATTCGACATGCATGACTATATTGCACTTTCATTTTTGTAAATATACAGAAAGTATCATTTTAAAAAACAACACAGTCAAGATTCGATATCAATATAAAGTTTATAAAGCGCAAGCATTAAGAAAGTACAACCAGTACTCATAAAAATTTATATACACTGACCAAAAATTCACCATTCTATTTATAGTGTTATTTATTTGTGTATCTCAATATTTGAAGTTAATTACGCGAAAAATGTGCGGTACACTCGTTTTGAATGTAGCCTTTTATGAAACTTCATTCTATTCATACCGTAATATAAGAAAACATAGTGAAAATGCTCTGGCATAGTGATGTCCTGGTATCATATCTTTATTCGATATTTGAAATACCAAAGTCGACGATGACAAAGAAATGTTAATTTATGCATGAAAATGAAACGTAAAAAAATGATGTATGGAGAACCACAACATATGCATTCCAATTAGACAACCTGGATCTACGTTTGAGCTAGGGTTGCCTATTCTTATTGATCCATCGCAAAAAAATGGGCTTTAAAAGAAACTGTAATTGTATATTCATGGCTGTATTTTTGTTTTTAAATCTTGACTATCTTTTGTGTTCTATTTTCAGATTATCATGCTCAAATGTTCTTAAACATTATTGACAAAAAAGGCATGAGTGAACTGTTTTCATTTCATTACCTCGAACATAGATTTAGCATATCCGAGTAACACTTCTGCCTGGTTTGTTTTCATTGTTTTGCAGTGCTTTTCAAACTTTTCAATGAGTGGCTGAATAGTGCCCTTATCACATGTTTTTAGGGAAGAATGGCACTTTACAATATAGAAGTACGCAAATGAAATGTCGTCTGCTTTTATTTTGCCATGCACTTGTACGTGATTTCGTAGTGGATCTTCAAGAGTGTCTTTCTCCTTTTCACTATAAGCTATTCCAGAAGCTGTATGTGATTCTACATTTGCAGTAAATTCTTCTAGAATGTTTTTAGCTTCTTGGTACATATGGATTTTTACAAGATATGTAACGTAGTCAATGATACAACTTTTGTTTTCTTCATAAACCTGTTTGAATATATACCCTGCTTTCTCCAAGTATTCTGATCTTGACACTGACCCTTCCGGCTCAGTATAAGCCAAAGAGTGGTGCATGCATGCAAGGTTTCCACGAGCTGATGCAAATTCAGGATATTCTGCCGAAAGACTAACGACTGCTTCAAAATAACGACACGTTATAGTCAGATCCTTTATCATCAAACCTGCCGAATTAATGAACTGCATCAATGTCGCATCAAGTCGCATAGGGACAAGCCATGATTTGTAAATATCAATTAAGCAATTGATTGCCTCCTGGTGTTTTGTAGTTTTAGCTTCCTCTTGACTTGGGTTTTCATTGAGAAGGTAATGACAAATATTGTAACCTGATGCTATTATACCTTTCATAACTGAGATATTTTTGTCTCTGTGAATTTTGAACATTTTCATGTCATCCAACAAAGGTTTCAATACTTCTCTGAACGTAGCAATGACGCTTTGGTACCCTATTACTCTTGTATCCATGTAATCTAAAATTGGACTGACAGGATCACATCGCATACTAACAACTGTCGCGACAGCAACATCTATTTCCGAATCGCTCATGTGACCAATCAAATTATTTTCTGGTAAAAAGAATGTTGGCACGTGCTTTCTCCCAAGACATTCTAAAAGGACATCTAATATGTAGAGTACACAGTTGCCAGGATATGTCTTCCAGTAATCACTTGGAAGTTTCATACAACAATAGAGAAAGACGGACTTGAATACGTATGATGAGAGAATAGAAGCACTTCCTATAACCTGTTTCCGTAGTATCTTTACATATATGTAACACTGTCTTTGATAATCAGTGACAGCTTCACGGGCTATTCTACCTTCAGATGCAGAAAATGAAATCCTCCATTCAAGTTCAGGTCTCGCTGAATTCTTTGAAGGTACTGCTACTACATGACACCCATCTGCAATAATAGCGTCTACCAACTGTGGATCCAACCATTTTGATTTACTTGCTCTACTTTTCCAACTGCTAGCTATTTCTGGCCAAGGTGAACATTCTAGTGCCGTGACAAAATCTCTAGAAGCCCCGATATTTGGTTCGTACAATCTGTCGTGCGTTAAAACTTGGTCATCCTCAACAGTGAAAGCAGGACCTTGAACCCAAGCTCTTTCATGTTTTTCCAAACCAACATTAGGTATTATAGACTGAACCTTCTCCATCATAATTGTACTACTAAGATAAAACGTGCCTGTGTTATCATTGTAAATGAATGCCTCATCTTTCTCTTTCACTGTTGGTAAGCATATTCGGGCATATCCTGGTTGAACTCCTTCATATTCTAGATATCCTTTGAATCCGGTATCATTAGGCTCTGGGAGCTTTGACGTTGATATGTTTAAATATCGAGGAACCCAAAGCATATCTACATCGGATGTCCTTTCAACAACTGGTGGATTCGTTCTTGTTAGAGAATATGGTATTGCATAGCCTTCAGCATTGCTTCCAGTTACTACGTAAGTGTCCATCGGTGTTTGCAGTGATAAGTCGTGTGTATGAGAGGTCAGGTTTTCATAATGGAGCTTTACATTCTTCCAACCAACTAGGCGAATCGGTAGAAGTGTCTGAATGATGTATGATAGATGCATCAAAGGTGTCTCAGATAGCTCATCCCAATCCTCAGTATAAAACTCCACATCAGTCTCCATGCTTAAAAATAAAACAAATCATGTTTTTAATAATAAAAAAAAACATGTGAACTTAAATTAGAAAGAAAAAGAAAATTACAATACAGTCCCTTAAAGATGTTTGCTACAAATAGGTTTTCTTCCCTTGGTTCACGTACATTATTGAATTCTGCCGAAAATACATAGAGATTATTTTTGATACAGTTTTTTTTGTTGCAATTTTCTAGTATTTTCTTTATGATAAACGCCAAATCTAATTGTGCTATGTTCCCCATTTCTATTTTAGCCAGTTTATTTTCTGATGTTTTTCTCTTAATAATTAAAGCAAATGTTCTCGGTGCAGATCACGTACAAGTCTGTTTAACACAACGGGCGTCATTTCACCAATACGATTTATACTTGTAAACATCATTTGAGAGTCAGATCTACTTATTTGTCTATTCATAGATCCCTACTCTGACCTTTTATTTTATTTTTAATAGATTTAACCTGTTATCAAATATGTTGTGGTGAAATTCCTATTGTATCCAGGCCACCGCAGTTAAATATAGATAATATGTCCGAACAATGATTTTTATGATAATATTTCGAATAACTACGCATAAATAAAGTATAATCCAACTAAGTGTACTGCGCAGCGAACGAAAATATTTCAGAATCAAGCTTTGGCACGTCAATATATTTTGACTAAAATAAAGTATTAACAATTATCTTACCTTACTTTCCACTTATTCTCCCAAATATGTTAGCTTATACTACTGTCGTCTGCATACATTGATTTAAACGCACTGTACACAGTTATATATTCTCCTATGATATAGAGCGTAACAGTGTAATTGGCGTCCGCGCCGAAGCGCGACGCCCCTTTGAACGTACATTCGTCACCGTGTTTACTCATCTGCATAGCTATAAACAGTTAAAGGGCGTATCATGATCAAACTTTATTTCTAAAGTAAGTAAAAGCTATAAATATAACAAGAGCTTCAAATGACAATAATTAAAGTTCTAAAGAACGTGACTGTATAACTCTAAATGGACTGAAACTATAAGACCATTCTTAATATTCTACAGCTATTTTTAGAACAAGAACCAGAACGAGGCATAACTGGCAAGCTGATAAGCCAGTATAAGCTGTGTATACAATGAAATCGACTTATCTTTGGTTCCTAACATTAATTTCTCATTTGTAGAGTTATATATTAAACAAAACAAAGGTAATCCCTCTATAAAGAATTCAATTATATTTGTGAGGTATCCATTTATGGTTTAAGAGGTGAGTAAGAGAAGAGGTTTTTTTTTACTTTCGGTTTCAATTTTGCTGTCACAAACATATTTCCGAACATAATATAAGGTTTATAGATACAAATATGTGGTGTCTTGTATTATATAATCTTAGGTGTTCTGTTATTTATGGATTCTTGATACCAACATAAAGGTAATTGCAAATTGAATCTTATAGATAAGCCCCTAATGACCTGTGGAAAATCTTTATCAGATGTGTATTGGGTGGATTATATCAAACATTTATTGACTCAGTTACCATAGTATCTGAAATAAACTAATGCCTAGCCAAATTCTATGTATACATGTACTTTATGAATTTTAATTTGTACTTCCAGTACTACAAGCAGATACTGGTTGCGCAATATAATTAAGGGAAATGCGATAGATAACAGAGAAAGAATGAATTTTCTTATTTATTTCAAATTTTAATAAAGACTTTATATACTTCCTAATATTATATTGTTTTTATTATCCTTTTTTATTGAAAACCAATTTATATAAACATATAAAAACAATATAATACTGACTATTACATTTTGTCCATGATTGCACTATGGGTTCATTAAAATTAGGTAGTGTACATGCTAATGTCCATACCTGGCTGACAGAAATGAAATAGATGTGTGAAACAGAGGATACTCGAGATCTTTAATTCTTTTGGTTTTTGATTCTTGCTGATCATTCTCTCTCTCATTTTCTAGTGTAAATTTGTCTTTTGTACAAATGCTGAAATGTTCAATGACACTTCCCTGTCTGACAGTATCTTCCTTAATGTAAACCCTTTATCACCCATCACATCATCACCAGTTTCCAAAAGTTCAATTAGATCTCAACATCTGACATGCATCCATGTAACAATGACACAAATGAAAACGTGTGCATGTTCCTTTGTAATTTCACTACAAATTCAGCTGAGTTGCAGGGTCTTTACATCTTTTTGGTCTACCCCAGTTCAAGCCTCATGAAGCCTTATAAATATAATTTTCTTCCTGTGTTTCTGTAGACCCATAAGATGTAGATAGTTGGCAATTGGTACTTGTTGCATTATCTTCTTCATCTTCATTATAGACAATGCTGAAACAGAAAGATATATATTTTACCAAACATATTATTTATTCAGTATCTGAGTGAGAATTTAAATGATTTTTTTTTCTGTAAGCAAACACATTTATTAAACATAAATAAGCATTATATTGTATGTATTTAAAAGAAAAATGATGAATATGGGAGTTAAATCAGTGACTTTATCAAAAAAATGCCTATCAATGAGCATTTTCTTTGGTGAAAGAATTTTTCTTATAAGTGGCCTTCTTAATTGGAGTTGTTTGTTCAACCCAATTAAACACAGATGGAATAGAACCATTTTTAAGGGGAGTCCAGTTGTAATCCTCAGTTTAAAATGTTTGGAACACATCACAGTAGATGCAGTGACCCTAAAATATACCATATATTTATAATAAGGAATGATACAGTAACTATTATTCAGCTTCAATTCTCTATTTGTAACATATATTTGAACTGATAATAATTTACAATTTACAAGTTTTAATTGTTATAACTGTTAGATTAAAAGCAAGCAGTTCTCCTATTATTTTATTCTAAATTTACAAAATCTGTATTTTTACAAAAATATTATTCTGTTCATAATAGTGGTCAAAGTTTACAAAATATTATTTTTAGGTGCTTACCTTTAACAATGACCCTTTATCCCTTCTTATCTTAGAAAGTTGGTCATCCATTATTTGTTGTTTTTTTTAATCTTTATCCTTTGGAATATGGTAAATCATATTTACCATTAGAATAGCACATAGGCACACAAAAATGATAATTAGAACTTTTCTTTATTAACAACCAACATCGTGGCTATATACTCGGTAGTGAGATAAGAGTGGTCAGTGTGTTTACATTCGTGCCATTTAAACCTCGTTCTGGTTCTGGAATTCAAGGTATGCATATAATTTGAGAAGGGTCTATTAATCCTGTATGTGATGCTTCGACATGTTATTTTAACCAATCTACATGTATCTCTTATGCACTGTTTACACAACACAGTTGTACGGTGGCACAGAGGTGACGTGTGTGTTCTTATTTAATCTCGTGCACACGAGAGATAATTGTTGATCCTGTATGTTTTGATCAAGGTGGAAAACCACACTAAATGAAATTATATATAAAATTATGTACATTATTATGCAAATAAAACAATTTACAAACATAGAAGAATATGTAAAATATGTACTGCAAATATTTGTGCATATTATATGTTATCATCAAAATATATGCATTCATTTATTATTGTAAAATTTGACTTAAACATTATAGAAAATACATTTTTTATTACCTCCCTTTATTTACATGAAATGTTTAATTCGGTAATATCTTTATAAATAATGTCTTTTGGAACATACAGTATTTATAAATCTTAATTCTAGCATCATATTTGTGATTTAAAACCATAAAATAATTGTGTTACAGGATCTTTAAGTGGAGCATACGAAATACTATATCGTGCACAAGAGTTACTAAGTCGTGCAAATGAGTTTCTTAGTCCTGCGCACGAAATAGTTAATTTCTGCGCACGAGATACTATGTCGTGTGCATAAAATACTATGTCGTGTGCACGAGTTACTAAGTCGTGCGCACGTGATAGTTAAGTGGTGCACACTAGATACTACGTTTTTTGGCGTTTTTTTATTGATTTTTATTTCATTAATCTTACTTTTTAATCGAAATAGCTCCATCTCATTTCTTTTCATTTCTTATTATAAATGTCTGAATATTTTAACAAATTTTAAGAGAGACAAAAATACACCTTTTAGTTAATATGCATGATCATTTCTTTATTTTGTCAGACAGTAAGTAATTAAAGAAAAAAAAAGGAATTGAAACTTGAATAAGAAATTAAACAATTTCCACAAGGATTGGAACCCACTACCTTAATTCACTTTCATATTAATAAGCTGCCTTACATATTGTGCTATAGTGTCAAACGAACATAATATGTCATAAACTATAATTTGTATAACTTTTAATGTAATTATTTTGTTATTCACTTGCAGTTTACCTTAATCTTTTATTGGCATGCGCTTGTATTTTTACGGTGTTCCGTTTGGACAACCGTGATTTTTTATTTCGTCTGTACCCGCGATGCACGATGGTACGACGGTGAAAACGCGATTGCACGATGATGAAAACGCGATAGTACGATGGTGAATGCGCGATGGCACGATGGTGAAAACGCGATTGTGCGATGGTGAAAACGCGATGTAACGATGTCGCGAGCCATCGCAATTTCACCATCGTACCATCGCGTTTTCATCATCGTACCATCGTACCATCGTGTTTTCACCACCGTACCATCGTGCCATCGCGTTTTCACCATCGTACCATCGTGCATCGCGGGTACAGACTAAATCAAAAGTCACGATTGTCCAAACGGAACACCGTAATTTTTACACCTGACGAAAGTTCTGTTTATCGTGCTCGGACTTTTTTTATACAAAAATGTATAGATATTAATGTAAACATCAACACGAGAGATGCGTTCATTACCCTTGGAGCGGTAAGACACCAAGGAGGCAGTACACAGTTTCAGTCGTTTAGTTTCGGATTGGCCAGGGTCAAATTTACAAATAAGAGACAATTTTGTAATTGAAAAGAATATTGAGCTTCTAAATATTTAAAGTTGCTATATTTCAAGTTTCAGTGGCCAGTATTGTGTTTCAGTGATCAAGGAAAATTGATTTTAATGGTGTTTGACCAATACATTTTGGGGAGTACTAGTACCTGTCAGATTCGAATGTATGTTCCATAAAGCTAGCTAGGAAATCATCTCTTCGCAGAAGACTGAAAATAGTGAAAAAGTAGGTGCATGTCTTCCCGTTTGGATGTTATTTTCAGATTGTGCATTGTTTAAGAAAGAAGAACACTGTATCTTGTGATTTTATTTTTTGACGTTAATAGATTTGTTTCGAATAGGGGTAATCCACTCTTTTTGTCGTTGATTTTCGCAACCAAAACAATGAAAAACACAGGGCTATGTGCCAGACTACTAGAAGGTGGACATGTAGTTTTAATTGTTTGCTGTGAGATACCTATGTACAATGTATATGTTAAATATTTCAGGTGTGTGATTACAGACTTGTGTGTTAGGTATTAATTGTGACGCAATCAGTTGTTTGCCGAGAAGCCTTGAAAACTGTGTATTGCCCCCTAAATACAGATATAGTTATAACCAATGTACAGTCTGTTCTTCATTCATAAACTTGTACTGATTAATTAAAGAAAGTTAATGAGTACTCCGATTTTAAACTTCCAGGAAAACGTTTTGTCCATAATTGTATGCTCTATAAATATTGTTTATGACCATTATTTGAAAACTGCACATTCCATTTGATTGAGTCTGTGCATGAGAGATAATTTAAAAGCGCAACATCTCTCAAGTCTCCCTAGCACCGGCTTAAACTGTATTTAATCTTCAATACTAACGGCTGCAATGAATAAATCTGAATGTCTAATGTATATCGTGAAAAACATATAATTTGTTTACTCCTCTATCACTGGTGTAGCTACATGTTTAACATGTTCATTTGAATTCCCGGACCTAATTTGCCATAAAGAGTACAGGATTTAGAAATAATTGGTTTACAAAACAGAACAAGTAGTTTATTCTAGACATGTGCAATAAATACATAATCATTTTACATATACATAAATGGTAGACATAATACAAGTCACAATTTAGTAATAAGCACATTACCACAATTTCATATTCTGAGAGGATGAACTGTATAAGTAATAGTAATTTTAGGTTAAAGAAATATAACAAGCTGAGTTTTTCATAATATTCTTATTTTAGTATGTATTTATTGGTTTAACATTATAGTATCGTTTTTACATATTTTTGTCAGATATAATCATAACATATAAAATATAAAGTATTATTCATTTTCAAGGTCATGCGTATTACAGTAAGTATGATAACATTCATTTTAGTAACTCTGTAACATTAAGTCCAACCTAATTATACGTGCAATTTCGACCACACCTATTAGAACATCTGTTAAGAATCATATGCAAATGTGTCTATCATTACAATCACTATCATTTAACCATTAACCAACTTTTAAACAAAAAGTCAATTTATATAAAATCAGATGCATGCGTTAATTTTTGCCTGCTCATAAAAATCAAAGGAGCAACCCGTCTTTATTTCATTTCGATGTTGTTGCAATTTATTTAATGTTTTAGAAATTGTTAAAGATTTGTCCTTGATATCAAGTGCACATAAACATTTGACTATATAGTAATAGACAAAAGATAATGCTTCTCCAGTGACAGACCTGTAAGTTATAATGTGAATTCGCATACAATCATCAACTGTTTTTATTTCTTTTGCTGAATAACTGTAAATATTTTTAAATAAATCGCTGCAATTCTGTAAAAAGTCTTCTAATATTTCTTTTGCCTCCCTGTATCTGTTCTGGTTCAACAAGAACGTTGCATAGTCTACAACACAAGTTTTATCTTCCTTGTAGACTTGTCCAAAAAGTTTGTCTGCTTGTTTCAAATACTGATCGTTAACCTCCCCATCTTTGTCATAAGCGTACGCGTGTAACATGCAGGCTAGATTTCCTCTACACTGATTAAATTCTGGGTATTCTTCAGACAGAGATACTGCTGCTTTGAAGAAACGAACAGAACGTTCTAGCGATTTAAGAGAAAGACCATATGTATTCACAACACTTAAAAGGCTATCCCTCGGATAAACTTTGTGGAGCCAATTTGTATACACATCAGCAAGACATTTGACTGCTTCTTGGTGTTTACGTAATGGTATATATTCTGGACCATCAGTGGTGTTTTCATGAAGATAAAGTGAGCAAATGATAGATATCGACTGGCTGATACCACGCTTGATTGAGAGCAGACTGTCTCTGTGCACTTTAAAATGTTTCATATCGTCTAGTACAGGCTGTATCATCATTTTGAATGAACCAAGAAGTGGATGAAGTAACAAACATCTATGGTCCATAAAATCCAGAACAGGACTTATCAGGTCACAACGAAGATTCTGTACAACTGTTATTGCTGTTTGTAAATCGGAATTAGTCAGGTGACTAATTAAGTTATTTTCTGGAAGGAAATATGTAGGCACGTGTTTAGATTGGAGGCATTCTAAAAGAACGTCCATCATGTAAATCACACAGTTGCCTGGATAATCTTTCCAATAAGAGACTGGAAGTTTCTCACAACAGTGTAAAAATATCGATTTTAACATGTACGAAGACAAAGCTGTCTCTCCTTTGTTCATAGCTTGATATCGCAATATTTTCAGGTATATATAACATCGCCTTTGATGATCTGTTACTGCTTCACGTGCTAATCTTCCTTCAGATGCTGAAAACGACAGTCTCCATTCAATGTCAGGTTTATGGCTAGTTTTGGAGGGCACACCAACCACATGACAACCGTCTTCAAATATTGATGTTATCAAATCTGAATTTAACCACTCTGAATTCCTAGCTCTGTTTTCCAAACTTGAAGCAAAATGTGGCCAAGGTGTACATTTAAATGCTGTAACAATGTCTGTCGATATTTCGTTTAACGGTTCAATCTCGACCTTGTTCAATGATTGTTTTCCATGATCAGTTATTGTCATAGCTGGTCCTTGTTGATATTTGTCTTTTTTATTTTCTGAATCAGTAAATGTTAAATTTGAAAACATGTACTCCGACACATTATAGCTCCTAAAATAGTTCTTGTTTGTTTCCACATCATATGTAACCATATCTGGATTTTTAGGCATGGTTAACAAACATATTCGAACATAACCAGGTGGCGTATGAGCGTAATCCAAATATCCGTGATATTGTAAACTAGACTTGCTCAGTTCTCTTGTGGAAAATTCCATGCTTTTAATTACACACAAAACATCAACATCAGAGAATATTTCTGGTTGAACGGAAATCGACCCTGCTCTTATTGCCTCAGGTATTCCGATTCCTTCTGCCTGACTTCCGGTCGGTATATACTTTATAATGTCTTCCTCGTTAAATGAGTTATCTTGCAGAAATTTCTCATAGGTTTTACGTCCTGGACCATTCTCCCATCCTATCCATCGAAGTGGAAGTAAAGTTTGAATGATGTAAGACAAATGTATCATAGATGTCTCAGAACAATCATCCCATTCACCAGTCTTAAATTCCACGTTCATTTTCATCGTTTAGCTAGAAGTTGATCATCAACACCACTGAAATTGTAAGGTACATGTAGTTTGTCAAACATTTAAGAACCTTTGTTTTCATTACAACCAAATAAAGACATTATTTGCAAAAACGATATAATTAAGAATTATTAATACATCGCGTCTACTGAAGATAAAATAGACCCCGACAAATAATATTTTTACTTTATTAACCTTAAAGTACTTACATGTACGTGTATACTTAAGTTTATAGCAATAGATAACCTATAAGAATCCTTCATCGACAATGTATAAAAATGTGATCTTAGATTATTAATATTTACCGACAATTCTACTTTGTCGTCTAAATAACATAACGTGAAATATAGTAAAAATAATACAAACACAAGTTATTACTCAGAGAAACAGTAGTATAACCAACATACCTCTATCTGTGTAATGCAGCAGTGTATCATCACGATATTGGACATGTATACATTACTTTATTTCGAAATCTCAATATTTGACCTGGATCAACATAATTTTACCTGTTGTAAAGTTAAAGATAAAATCCATGGTTGACCAGTAAGAGAAGTTACGGAAGCCTATAAGGGTCTAATCATGACCAAGTACCCTGTTAAAGTTTACACGTTACACGATAATATAGCTACTGTATTTGCTTTTCGCATAAATCGCTGGAATTTATATCGCAATCGAGCTTAAATAATATGTGTATGATAATTTACACTGTAGTTTTACAAATTGTATCTGTCGTAGGATAAGAATGTTTATAAAATGCACACTGCCTTATATTTTGTTATTCATTTCAAATAAAATATATTAACTGTATCTAAAAGTGTTACTTCTTATATATTTGACCCTATATTTCTATTATTTTTTTATCGCATGTTTTGGAACTTTTTCTTTGTTTCTTACTAACCCATTATACTCAGCACACTTTCAAACTGTAATAATATATAGCAGTACAGTTTTTCATTGATTCATATAGGCCAAAATCTCTTTTTTTTTCGCACCTTGTATATATCAGTACTGCAGTACAGTATAGTTTTTTTTCACTGAGGTTCCAATGGGGCAGCGGTAACGAACATTCCCAAGTAGCAAAAAATAAAATAAGTAAGAAAAAAAAATTAATGAAATGAATTCATTTTTGTGTCGCCTCTACGGAGTAGTGGCGACATATAGGGATCACCACTCCGTCGTCTGTCTGTCCGTCTATCTGTCCGTCACAAAACTTGTCCGGACTACTCCTCATAAATTACTGGTGCAATTTCATCCAAACTTTACAGGAATGATCAGTACTAAGTCTAGTTGTGCATATTGTCAGCATTTTCCGGTTCAATGATTTTTGTAAGAGTTATGGCCCTTTAATAATTTTTATTTTTAAAGTTTGTCCGGACTACTTCTCTTGTACTACTTATGCAATTTCAATGAAACTTTACAGGATTGATCTGTAGCTCAAGTCCTTGCGCATATTGCACGGGTTTTCCGGTTGAATGATTTTTGGCCGAGTTATGGCCCTTTGATAAAAAGGTGTTTTTTTCTGTGTGTTGCCAGATACACAAAAGCTTGTCCGGACTACTTCTCATAAAGTACTGGTGCAATTTTATCCAAACTTTACAGGAATTATCAGTACCAAGTCTAGTTGTGCACTGTCTGTTGTGCACTGTCTGTCTGTCTGTCCGTCCGTCACAAAACTTGTCCCCAATACTCCTCATAAACTATTGGGGCAATTTCATCCTAACTTTACAGGAATTTATGTCGCCACTACTCCGATCACTTCTCCGTCTGTCAAAAAACTTGTCCCAACATGAAATTGGCCATCATGAGGCGACACGTGTGATGACTAATCGCTCTTATTTGTTGTAATGTTCGTATATTAATGAGAAATTAAATCAAGTGCGTTGATACAATGAAGTAAAATAAAACACGACTAGTGTTCAGCACAAGATATAAATTTATTCTGCATAACCTTAACATGTGATCTTAGATACGTAGCATGCGCATTATACGATGATACTACAATTTTCATATAATTATGCAACTGCTGAATCCGCTGAATGAATTATTTCCACTGTAAAAGCCCTTAATTAAATCTTTAATCCGGCAAACTATCAGTTTACAATCCGCCTGATCTTAAGTTTTCAATATTATATATACGGTAGCTGTAAGGTAGCTCACGACATCATAAGTTGGTATTGGTTCATATTGTCTGGGAGTGAGAAGGTGAAAAAGTGAAAGGGCACAAGAGAGAGAAATGCATGCTTTTTGGAGTTTTTTGTTTGTATGTTTTTTTTGTGCGTTTTTTTTTTTTTTTTTTGGGGGGGGGGGTCGTTTTGTATTTTTTTCTGATTTCTATTACAAAAAATGAAAATGCGACATAATAGTTATAGTATATGAAACGAGTTAGTTACAAGGGTATAACACTGGCTGGGGCGACATCTCGGGATGTGTCTGCAAAAAAAACTGTCTCTTACGGCCTCGACATTTTTTTAGCAGAAACACCCCTAATGTCGCCCCAGCCAGTGTTATATCCTCGTAACTAACTCGTTTCATATACTATAACTGTTACATCTCTCATGGTTAATTACACGTCTTTTTTGTTTTTGGTGTTTTTCTTTCTTACTGGAACTTTTTATTTCTAAGAATGATAATGATATTGTGACGTTCTTTAATTTTTCCTTTATTTGCAGCTGTCTGTTCTCCTTTTGAAACAAATTTTCTAGAATGTCATCAGTGAAAACATTTTATGTTCTTCTTATTATTTTTTCCTTTGCTTTTGTCATGTGACCACATAATTATTATATTTGTAATTTTGTATGTAACGAGATATTGTAAATATATAAGTTACCGAAATAAACTATTTCTTCTTCTTCTTCTTCTTCGTCTTCTTCTTCTTCTTCTTCTCATCTCTCATTGTTACTTACCTGTCACCCGTAAACTTCATATGCTATGTTCGGGTATGTTGTGTGATGCTCCATTGCACTTCATATTTGATCATTACATGTTATATATAGTTGTGTAATGTATTTATATTGTGAAAATATATATTCTTTAATAAATATCTTGGATACTTCAGGTTAGTAATCTCTGAAAGTTATTATTTAAATCATTAGATTATTACAGAATGTCATTATTGGTATATTTATAGAGGTTTTTGATAAATATCAGAGATATATATTTACAATATTTACCTGGAATACTTACAATGCTTACCTGAAATTGTACATGTAACTATTGCATACAAGTATCACTCAATCAACCATATGCTATAATTGTTAATTGGCACTTCATATTTGACCATAACATGTTATAGTTGTGTAATATATTCATATTGTGTAAATATATTCTTTAATATATACCTTGGATATTTCAGATTTGCATTTATTGTGTCTGTGTTAGTCGATATTATTCTCCCACCTATAATACAAGTACATGTAACTGCCGACTGGGTTACGTCCACATATCTTTGTTCGGTGTTGGCCCAACACTTTGCTGAGATTAACAATGGTCCAACAGATTATCCATTGACGGTTTTCGGTTGGTCTGATGTCTTCTGCGAGGGTTGTCCAAAAATTCGTGCACTACAGTTATTGTCGTGAGAGTTATTGATAAAAAGGCATGAATTATATATCACTCGAAGGGGAAATCTGTCGCAAATAAGAAAACAAAAGAAAAAGCCGTGTAACCGGTGTGTCGTAAAAAAGAATCGTCATACAGTTACCTTAGTAACGTCATACCGGCGCACGACAAAAATTTGGGTTAGTTCATTAATTTGATGCATCACAGAATCCTTTAAACACTACATATAAACGTCAAAATTCAGGGAAAAGTGTGTGTATGTATTTCTGACGTCACTAGAAAATATGATGTCATTTGCCCTATTGTAACAGTCGTAAACAAATATTTCCGTATGGTTGTCAATACTGTCATTACATGAAAATGTCAATTGCTAAACGTCTGGAAATACAAACGATCATTTAATTTTGCGCAAGTATTGGAAAAAAACACCAACAGATACCTACAAAGAACTTAAAACGGCAAGTGGGACCAGTTCATTGTCACGAATGCTGGTTTATAAATGGCAAAAACGCTTTGTAGTCGACTAGAAGTCGGTAGACGATGACAACCGATCAGGCAGACGTCCGTCCGTAATGCCGGCGTATGTGACAAGGGTTGTCAAATATATTTGTGCACTGGTGTAATATGTTACATGTAGGTTGCATAAGAATAATAAAAACTGCAAAATACTTTGCATCAATCATTCCTCTAATTGCAGTAATACAAGTTATGACATAAAAAGCAAATGCCAGTTTACAAGCAACAAAAATTAATACAATCAAAGTAATGAACTTACCCAATTTTCTGTCGTGCGCCGGTACTACGTTACTAAGGTAATTGTATGATGATTCTTTTTCACGACACGCCAGTTACACAGATTTTTCTTTTGTTTTCTTATTTAAGACAGATTTCCCCTTCCAGTGATATAAAATTCATAATTTTTTATCAAAAACTCTTTCGATAATAACTGCAGTGCACGAATTTTTTGGACAACCCTCGTATATTGTTACTGCTTCCAAACCTTTATGAACCGCTTTTCTTTCATCTGATGCTGCATTAGAATACGTTAGATGTCGCACTATAAATACGGTTACACTGTAGTTTTTCATAGACATAGAAATATTTTAAAGATTTGATGTAGACCAATAAAATATTGAAATATCATTTTTATTAGATTGGTAAAAGATTTTATTTTCAGGAAACGGATTTTGTATGACATTCCCATACACCTAATTATAGCTTTAACATGTCAGCCCACATTTATTATAAAGTGCATGAGAAAAAAATGTCCTGTTCACAAACTGTAGTGTACTGATCAATATTGAAAAAATAAATACGTATAATCATTTTCTGAAAACGTTAATGTGCAACTTTATTGAGAGAACTTTTTTTGCATTGGCAAAGAAAACGTAACGTTGCATTTAGTTGAAGGAAAGCTCGAACGCCATGTATCTTAAACCATCAGAAATTTTCTTTTCGCAAGATTCTATAAACAATGTATTTGATAAAAACTGTGCTCATTCGTATCAGTTAATAGGAGAAACTTTAGACGCAATTTGTGATGGAAGGTACTTTTTGTTCATTTTTTTCCTTGTTCTGCCATTCTTTTTTGCGTTTATTGTACAAGTATTGCATTTTTTATTTGGTTATTGATGGACATAAATTGTTGTTCTTTCCTTAAAGATTGGTTCAATGTATTGCACATTTAAAAAGTAACCACTGTTAAATTACAGGTGTTCTATTCAAAGTATACCCACTATATCAGTTGTAAAGCATGATAACAAGTGGTTTACAGCAGATAACAGACGATTGTGGGTTTTTCGAAAGTTAGAGAGGCTTGGAAAATGCAGCGAGATTTATGTAACAGAGGGGTATCATATTTCGTCACTAAAATTTACGACAATCAATGGAGGTGTATCGGTCACTGTCCGAAATGGTTCCCCTGGTGGAAAATGGTACAAGAAACCAGCTTATGGCACAGAGCAGATTTGGAAAAATACCCACGATCACATCTACGACCCAATGAAAGGTCTTCGCTTTCGAGAGTCGTATAACTTCAACGATCCGTTCAAGTCGACAAGGTTAAACAGATCAAATGATACCACGGCTACAATACCACACACCTTTTCTGTGTTAAATGATAATTATAATGACAGATATACGTCTACGGGAAAGGGATTTGAATCACAAAAATATCGCTACGTTCAAATTGAAGAAAGATGTTCGAATAATACTTCGAAGTGGTGTAGAAATGTACTTTTTGCACTAGTTTTACTAGCAGTTTTTGTAGCATTGTTTTGGATATTTAAAAAAGTTTATTAGTTATTTGAATGTTCATATCAGCATGAAGCTTCCAATGAATTACATTTCACACAAAAAAGACACATATTCGTAAGTGCACAATATCAACAATTTGAGAACACAACATGTTATCAAACATTTATTTTTCACCAAATAAATGTTAGTAATTTGAAGCTAATGTATAATTGATAACACTCAAAATTGAACATACCTTTGCAATTGACTTATGAACAATCAAACTAGTTTTACCTGTTTACTTATCTTAAATCCTAACTTAATCTGACTCGTGCTTGATTTCTTTATATTATTTTGATGTAATTAATTTTCTTTTCTTATCAGTTTTGGGAGCATGTAAATAATTCTTCTACGTAAAAATAGAATTGCATGTATTCTTTTAATAAATTTTGATATGTTATCATTTGAATTTCTATAAAATGAACGACAATAAATGTCAGTTTTATCATCGTTTGTGTCAACTACATTTTTATGCTTGTTTATTCATTACTTTCATTTAAAAATACTTTTTATCTTAAAATATTTATCAAAATGTTAATCAAGTGCCATAGTTTATAAATTCTTCAGTGATATTTTACACCATTGTTTTGTTTGAAATAAAAATTAAAACAATAACAATACATATAATTATAGTTTAGACATAAATGTTTTTTTTTTTTTTTTTTTTTTTTTTTGTTTCAAAATCAAGTTTGTAAATTCTTCAGTGATATTTACACCATTGTTTTGTTTGAAATAAAAATGGAAAAAAAAGATATGTTGTGTTTCATGATACGGTCAGAAGAAGGGCTTGCTGTTCTGAATAAACTAGGTAAATTATAGCTTTTTTTAAACCCAAAATAATCTAACATTATAGATATATAAATGAAACAAGTTAAAAAGACGACCAATGGCATAAACTTTGTCACTTCTCCATGTATACCCATTTGTGAAAAAATGATATTTTTATGTCGTCTATTTATTCATTTAGAGAGTAAGTTGAGCACGAAAAAATGATTTGTATGAAATATAAAATATATTTCCTTACGATAATTCTGTTGTGTTATAACCAGTGAACTTTCTCATGTAGCATCACAAGTTCTTTCTGTGATGATATATTAAGAAATAAAAACAAACCAGAACCGCTCGTCATGTATACGCCTTTCAATGCATGCAAGACAGAACATAGGCGAACATTGCTTGATATATCTATGGAATGTATATGTAAATGAACTTAATCATTTTCTGAAAATGTATCTGTGTTGGTTGAGAAAGGTTAAAAATGGCAACTCTAAATTTGTCTTTAAGTGTTCAAACTTTCGACATTGCAGAATGACTGAGAAACAAATTCGGTTAATCACCCCCCCCCCTCCAAAAAAACAACAAAAAAAACAACAGATGCAGAAAGCTTTAACAAGTTAGGGATTAAAAGTGAGATAATAATGACTTTTTTTCAAAAATGCATTTATTTTCAGAAAATGTTTATATTTTGACATAATTTTTTATAATTTATAAAAATAGCTTAATGTATGTATACTTTCTAAAAATAGCTTAATGTATGTATGCTTTATAAAATAGCTTAATGTTTGTATACTTTCTAAAATAGCTTAATTTTTGTATACTTTATAAACGAAACATATATTTTGACTATAAAATAGTAAATGACGGTATGTATTTTCCCATTAGACCAAAATAGAATAGCGAAAACCCAAAATGCACGTTGCATTGATATCTCATTTCTCTGCAATAGGAAGGCAGCAGAAATAAGAATGGATATACATTACCTTATAGTGTTTTAGATATATAGAAATTTTACACTTGAAGGAAAGCTCTATAATAAAAATGTATCTTAAACCATCGGAAATCTTTTTTTCGCAAGATTCTATAAATAATGTATTTGATAAAAACTGTGCTCACTCGTATCAACCAATAGGAAAAACTTTGGACGCTCTTTGTGATGGAAGGTAGTTTTATTCTTTTCACGTTATTACATTCATTTTATGATCATCTAGTTAAGAATTTGTTTCATTTGTTGATTTATTTTGTAGTTTTAAATTTATTGGCAAATCGGCATACAAAATACCATTGACCGTTTACAAATATGAAAATTGTATATGAAATATTCAAAAAGGTATTATTTATTATATTTCAGCATTTCAGTAGGAGACATACTCACTATATCAGTCGTAAAGCATGATAACAAGTGGTTTACAGCAGATAACAGACGATTGTGGGTTTTTCGAAATTTAGAGAGGCTTGGAAAATGCAGCGAGATTTATGTAACAGAGGGGTATTATATCCCCTCATCAAAATTCACGACAATCAATGGGGGTGTAGATGTCATCGTCAGAAATGGTTCTCCGGGAGGAAAGTATAAGAAGTCAGAGTTTGGTGAAATTCCCGTTTATGCGTCCGAAAATAACAACGGCTACACAAGATTTGGGGAAAATGAACGTAAAATTTCAGAGTATTCCCATCATGTACAAATTGAAGGTGAGGAATATAAATATGCCAATGGTGTAAACAGTGGAGTTTATGACACAGATAAGGACTGTGGAAACATGTGTACATGTGTGTGTTTTTTACTTATTATAGCTATTGTTGCATTGTTGTATGTATTAATTAATATGTATTAATTATTTAACATTTCCTACACACTTATCTATTTCTCGAGATAGAAAATGCCTTCTCCATTTTTATCCTCTCGAAATTACTGTACGTCACTACCTACAATTTACTATCTAAAATGTAGGCCCCTTTAGTTTGCTGTTTGGTGAAAATAGCAAAAAAGTCATAGATATGCTCTTGTTTCACCTTATCTGCTTCTATGCCTGATAAGCATTTTTTTATCAGTTTGGGAAAACGTGAATGTTGCGTAATGAGATAAAAATATAATTATTCTATTTATACAATCAAAATTACCAACTGAATTTCCTCAAGAATTTAGGTCAGTTAAAATCTGCTTTATCATCATTTACAATCGTGTGATCTGATTTTATTTTTAAATATGATTTGATACGATGTCATTTTATCGTTTTTATGAATATTTTAATGATATTTTACAATTTTTTGTAGCTCATAATGAAAATAGCGACTATGGCATTATAACTGTTTTGTTTTAAATAAAAATTAAAAATAAAATAAAAAAAAGTTTGTGATGTGTTTCTGCACAAAATATTATGTTGTGACACCTTCTAATTTTCCCAATTTGTTTGTTTGTTTGTTTGTTGTTTATAAAAGAAATGAAATATGGTTAAAAACTTAAATTAATGCTTTTTCAACAAAATAGGAATTTAGGAACGAAGAAAATATAATTAATGTACTTATACGTATATAAATTATATGACTGCCATATCTAAATTAAGAAAACAAAATGTACTTTTATGTTTCTACTATAAAAGTGTGAATGATATTAAGTTACAATATGTTAAAGACACGCTATGCCTCAGAAAAGAATAAATTCTCCTTCATGAGTTTAATAACATTTAAATAATGGGTTTAGATCATGTTAGATGCGTGTCACCTGAGTAAAATAACGCTTCTCACAGAAATAGCAAAACGTATACACATGCATGTCATGTATTCATTCCAAAGAAAGTCTTGACATTTTGGAACTAATTAAAGATGCTTCGTATAAAATTGACGTATCCGTGAACTTACTTGCCGTTTTCCGTACTCATTTTCTTATCATATTTTCATCACATGTACATAATAAGGTCGAAACTTACTAAACATTTCTAAAAAACTATTTTTTAACAAATACTAGATGAAATATACATTTATATGTTGAAATGAACTCATTCGTTTTCTGAAAATATATCTAGGTTAGTAAGACAATATGACCTCTATCGTAATGTGCAAAAACGAAACAAATTGATTGTCTTATATAACTGCACGACTCTTTTTATTTGTTACTTCGATTTTTGGAATGTGTAGGTAAACGGGAACCCAAGTTCACACTGGAAAAGGTATGTGCTGATCTCATATTTTTTTAGAAATAAAATGTAAAAACTGGGGAGCTATTTTAAGAATGGAAATACCAAACTTTTACCATTTAAATCTTCACATGGCCATTCTGAGTCATTGTGTGTTGAGGAACCTTGATAGAAATGTATCTTAAACCATCCGAAATCTTCTTTTCGCAAGATTCCATTAACAACGTATTTGATAAAAACTGTGGACATAGATATGAACCAATCGGCCAAACGTTGGATGCACTTTGTAATGGAAGGTAATTGTCTTTAAGAATAGATACTTAATTCCTTTATAAATGAATTTATGCATTACTCTATTATTGATGAATATTTAATATTAATATATGTACAAGATTGGTATTAAATAAAATCTTCAAACAACACGATATCAACAAATTGATTTTTTGATGCGACGCAGTTCGCATGTTTTATATATTGAATATTCAAAAGGTTGTATGTTTTATATTTCAGCATTTCAGTAAGGGACATACCCACTATATCAGTCGTAAAGCATGATAACAAGTGGTTTACAGCTGATAACAGACGATTGTGGGTCTTTCGAAATTTAGAGAGGCTTGGAAAATGCAGCGAGATTAACGTGACAAAGGGGTATTCTATTCCCTCATCAAAATTCACAACGTACAATGGAGGTGTAGATGTCATCGTCAGAAATGGCTCTCCGGGAGGATATTGGTATAGGAAACCAAGTGTAAAGCAGCAACCAGTTTCAAAGCCGGCTACTGTAGAAACACCGAAAATACCAACTTATATCAGAGAGGATAACAAAGAAAATGTTCCTACAAAATCAAGTAATACTGATTACACCATCTACCCAACAAGTGGGCTTAAGTTTCGTCAATTTGATAACGTGGCTTTTAACTTTCGTGATGAGCCTAAATCTTTAAGCACCGAAATTGAATCAAGACCTACAGATGCTATCGTTACAGTACCCAAAGATGAAGTTATATCAAAGAAAGAGGACGATTATAGTTCTCTGTCGTCTGCTGAATCTGAAGATATATCTATTCATGACGTGAATCTAGTGCCATCGGTAGCGGAGGTTGTACTGGAAGATTTTGCTATAAAAGAAGATTCTTGTAAAGTTCAAGTCGATGAAGATAACAATGAGGTTATGAATACAGATTCAAGGGTGGTTATTGATACACGCTCGATTGTATCTTATCCAACAAACCGTACATATAATACAGTCAAGAAAAATGACAAGAGATGTATCATAGCAGCAATTGTTTCTGGAGTGGCAATCGCTATTGTTGTTGTTGTTGTTATTATTGTAATTATGGTTAGTGTCTAAATTGATTTTACATTAGAATATATTTTTTTATATCTCTTAAGATTATTATTTTACTTGTTCAATCATTTATTCAATATTATTGTATCGTTGTTGTTGTTTTGGATTTTGTCTTCGTGCCATATAGCATTTTTCACGTGCCATATTGCATTTTTCACTTGCCATATAGCATTTTTCTCAAGAAAATTTAGTACATGTATTTCGATGGTTTTCCATCATGTAATATACGTGCTGTGTATATATGAATTCTGATAACGGTTAACATGGCTATCAAAAGATAATTATGTTATTGTTATTTACAGTTGTATTCTAATCAATATTACTGCATGTTAAACTGGTGTTGTTGTTTTTTTATTTAATAAGTAACGCGTGTTTATGAGTAATAAGATAAAAATAGAATTGTTCTAGATCTATTTATAGAAGCGTCATGAGTAGAAATTTCTGAAAATATAAAATGGAAGCAAATTTCCAGGCGTTCCATATATACGTATCGATCAGATCGGGTTAAACTATACCTTATCTAACCAGTTGGATTTGTATCAAAAACAATTCTTATATTTACCATTTCACTGTATGATTTAATTAAATCACATGTACATAGTTTTTGAAAGTAGATTCAAATATTGAATAAATGGTAGGATATATGCGTAGTTTAATAAATGTTGATAGTAATCTTTCCTATTTTAATACTATGGTAATTTTTACGCAATCACGTGACTTACTGTGATCATACATTTCAATCATTTTTTTAAATATACTGTTACATATCTATATGTTTACACAACACGGCTGTGATACCTTACTTTATTTTATATATTTGTATTTGAAACAGAATGAACGAATAAACAAAAATATATAATTAGCTATAAGTTATTTTGTTATTTTTTCTTCATTGTTATTACTTTAATACAAATCAAGTTTTGTTTTCTTTTATATCTTTATTTGATCTCATTATTATTGTGATCTATATGTCATTTAACATGACCATTGATTGGAAATAAAAGTAATTCTATTCTATATATTTCCAAAACAATGTTTGTCATGCATACATGCATGTACATTAGCCTTGAAATGAAAGAGAGAAAACTTTTGTGGAATATTTGAATATTATCTTATTGATTATCTCCCTTTGATATCGTCAAATGTGTAGAGCAAAACGCACACTGATAATTAGTTTACAACATATACTGGAATGGAATTCATTTAACTTAATTTGTCTGGTAAAAAGTACCTGATGCCCTGTCAATACGTGGACAAATAATTGCCAAAAAGACATCTTTTTAACACTAATACCGTTCAAAGTTCAGTTCATTTATACATGGAGTTAAATATAAATATCTTATATATATCTGTGATTTATATAAGAATGCTAGATCACAACCTTCAAGAACCCATGAAACACTAACCTTTATGACAGTGTGTGAGTGTAATCCTATTAACGAATTGATAAACACTTCGTTCTTCATATTTTCACATAGAATTTATTTTTGTAAAACATAAATGATATATTGAAACATGGTTTTAGCAAGTATATAGTTATATGTTCAAACTTGGGGAAAAACACAAGATTTTTAAAAATGTATATAAATGATGACCACAGACAAGGGTTTGAAATTTAACGCATTTAAAACGCCACACTCCACGTGTCTGTAATCGCGACCAAACATAGTAAAATAAACTTCAGTTTTTAACTGTTAATGGCCTATTGACCGTTTCGATAAATGTCTTTCTTCCAGCGAAAGTTTTGTTTGTATACACTAGTTTGTGTTTTATGTTTGTTTGTTTTTTTCATCCAGCGAAAGTTAAACTGTCTATCATCAGGTTCAGTTGCCGACTGGGGGGTATGCCGGGTCTGCTCCGTAATTGGCGGGAGGTGGCGGAGGGTACATTGCCTGTGGTTGATTCTGGGAATAGAGTTGATTATTGTAGGCCGGAGGTTGTTGTTGATATGCAGGTGGCTGTGTTTGAGGTGGTACGTGTATAAAAGTTGTGGTTTGAGCTGAAATGATACAAATAAAAAGGGATTTTAACAAATATAGGAACTTGTTTTATAGGATACATTTGTATACAAAGGGCAAAACTTATCAATTTAATCGTTTTAGCGGCTCTCAATTGCGAAAATATGACAAATCTATTAATTTTCCTATTATCCATAAGTGTGATCGATTTTTGATATCTTTTAATTATCACAAATGGTAAAAATGAAAAGACATTCAAATTCTTACACTAAAATACAAGACAAAGTTCCACGGTTTAATTTAATTTTTTTAAGTAAACTACAAGACAAAGTTACGACGTAGTTACTTGTAATTTAACGAAATACAGGTCATTTAAATACAATGTATATAATTTCACCAAAAAAAATATTAACCTATTTAATGTAAAATTTCTTCTAAATTAAAAGAAACAATTCAAGTTATGGTTTTTAAAAAAAAATATTTTTAAAATAAAATTTTTGAAATTAAATTTATCCAAAAAAATCCTTTAAAGAAATTTTCCCCTTTTAATGAAAAAGGTTTTTTAAAAAAAAATAAAATTTTAATAAATATTTTTATTCGAAACCCTTTAAATAAATACGGGGTGGGGGAAATCAACCCGGGCTTCATTACTTAGGGATTAAGTTTTAAAACTTTTAGTACAAGTTCAAATTTCATTTTTCAAACGTAAAACACATTTATGTTTATGCTTCTGTTAACTACTACATTTGCTAAGAATTGGGTCAAATATGCATTTGTCGGTAAGACACGCGTCCCTGCTCTTAATTGAATCATAAAAAGTCATAAAACAAAAATTCTTTTTATTTTAAAAAAAGTTAATAGGTTTTTAAGGGTTTGTTTAAAAATTAATTGTACAAAATGAATTTTACCGACAAAGGGTTTCCCATCCATTTAGCCCCTCCGTACTGACAAAACTGTGCATCATTCAGCACACACTGATTATATACAAATAAAAAAAGCAAAAACAAAACTTTGAATATTTTAGTATTTAATGAATGACTTTATCAATGATATACAAACTTTGTGGTGTTGTATTAATCACTCGTCCTTTTTTCGCATTCTGTTTTTTCCACACACAGTATACAATAACAACGAAGCTGATAAGACCAATCCCGCCAATTACAGCAACCACAATTATCCAGGAGTAAACCCCACAGCAGTATTCATCACCATAGTCACCGCAACAACCATAGTCACAGTAAAACGTCCGACCATTGTCGTAACAATATTCTCCACAAGAAACGGACCCTGTTCAATTTTTAAAGTTAATTGAAATAGTACTGTACGTGTTATAGCGGTATTTCATATAAATAGTGCTTTACGCAATATTTTATTTATAATATTCAATTACTGGTCAAAAGCAAAATATATCAATGATTAATTTACATTCTTAATTCTGCTTTTCAAGAAATAATAAAAACAAAATAATAAATCAGACGGAATAGCAAAGTTGAAAGAGACAGTGTAAGAACAATTATATCTACAGCATCAGATTCCCATTACATTTACACGCATTAATTTTAATAACCGAAACTAAGTAGGTTTACAGACGTACAAAGCTAATAGCATACAAAGCTAAAGTACAATTCAAAACGCACATAGAGAGCATACAAGTGAAATGAGCCGTGTCACGACAAAACCAACATAATGGGTTTGCGACCAGCATGGATCCAGACTAGCCTGCGCATCCGCGCAGTCTGATCAGGATCCATGCTGTTCGCTTACAAACCCTATTACAAGTAGATAAACTGATAGCGAACAGCATGGTTCCTGATCAGATGCGCAGGCTGGTCTGGATCCATGCTGGTCGCAAACGCTTACTATGTTGGTTTTGTCGTGACGCGGCTCAAATGAGGAGCTACTGAATGAAGGTAACAGAATATCACCAAGAGCATTAACTAAACATCAGGACATTAAGAACCTCCCGTGATATGTAATTAGAACAATAACAATAACCTAAATATGTGTAACATACAAAATATATCATACACAATACATGTTCAAAACTTTCATGCCATCATGAGAGTCAAGAACGAAGTAAATCAGTCAGAGAATCTAGTGTGTTTTTATTCTGATTGCGGTATTTTTACTCTCTAACAACTAACACAATGTCACCTCCTTAATAAGCAAGTAATTATAAAAAACAACGGAAAATAAAGATCTCGGAGAACCAAATATCGAAATATAGGCCTAGAGGATATCTGGGTTTTTTTTGCATGTTAGTTCGAAGATATTTCACTAAGTGAACACCAGATGCAATATATTCATTAATGGTGTAGCTTGTTAAAGGTGAAATATGATTTGATCTTACAAACAAAACAAACACAGTTTCTATTTAATTCATGCCTTTTTAAATGGTTTGAACTCATATTCATTTTGATTTGGTTTTGCCGCGTTATGTCATGAATGTTCATGGAGAAAAAAATCTGTAAAATTTCTCAAATTTTGTTCAATTTACAGAATACGTAAAAATGTATAGACCTCTCCCATGGCAGGATGAAATTCTGACGAATTTTCACACTCGCATTCAAATATAGTTCCGCTACTGCTGACATTAAATAAATAATTTCACTAATAAATTATCAAAATACGTGTATAATTTAACAAAATTTGATTTCACAAACCTGAACAAAAAGCAATGATATTGACTCACAGCATGACCTGAACACATAACAACGATAAAATACATAAAGGCTTAACATTGAACCTCACAGGATGATAAAAATGTGCAGCGTGATAGGGATCCAAACCGAGGACTGTCGGAACAACGTTCCGCAGATGTACCGACTGGCAACCCGGTCAATTATACGTTTTCTTCATTTAGTTATTAATGAACATCTAAAGGTATCATGACAGGCACAAAATATTACCAAAACAGAAAGAAACATAACTCAAGCATAAAAAACATAATCAAAACATAGCACAACTACCAAACAAAAACATTGACTCAAAAAATAAACTAAACTCTAACCGAAGAAAGTAAAATCCCAACTAAAACAAACAACAACAAAACAAAATTATTGACATGAAATATACCTCGAGCACCAAGTTATCATGTAGACACCCATCATAACTTAAACACCAAAGGCATAAACGACTTTTATTATTAATTATTTTTAAAGAATTTAATTTAGAGAACTTTTTATATTAATTTCATATTACACAAAACTTACCTATAAAACAAATAATAAATATCGCAAAACTTAAAAAATCCATATTTTGTTTACAGTGTTAATCTTATGAACTGTCATTAAAAATGGAAGAATGACTGTACAGATTTAAATAGGCCTTTTTCAAATACCCTGATTGTTTTGTTGATAGGTCAATATAGTATAAAAAGCAACTAACCGTATCGTCAAATATTTCGAAATGTAGTCTATTCAAAAGTAAAATAAATATAACGAAACGACATTAAAAGCGGTAATTCAATACAAGAAATCAAATAGTAGGTGTTCAACATAATTAGTAGTTCAATATCATAGTTTACTTATCGATGTATTAGGAAGGTCGAGTAAAAATGTTGAAATTTCTTCATCATTGATACCAGTTTTAGATCTTGTGAGACTTAAATTGTTTATTCTGTAATATGTTGGTTCTATCTTTTCAGAATCTACAAAAAGTAGGATTCACGGATAGTGTTGTGTTGATTTAATGGTCTTCCATAAGGATTTGTCGTGTAGTCGCGCGCATCTACTTCTGTACATTTACTTTTCTTGAATTTCGGATATTACATAAAAGTTTATGCTTCATAAAAGCAATTTTTTTAAGTATCGTAATTATGATCAAAAGCAATTCAAAAACTCTGAAATAATAATATTTTTCACTTAAATCAACTGTGGTCAAATAAATTTAGCGTTTATTAAGAAAAACATTTTTTGCTTTTGTTTATTTATTTATTTATTTATTTATTTATTTATTCATTTATTTTATTTTTCAAGAAAAATCTGAAACTAAAAACAAGGAAAAAGCAATGAGGACAAACAATCATTGTGTGGAAGACAGTTTAGAGTTCATAGCTCACTGTAAGTTCTCATTGATGAATTTACGTTGTCATTAGAGCAATAAAACAATTTCTGTGGTTGTCCAAACTTAGCGTGTGTAATTGGTAAATCACCAACAAGCAATAGTTAAAAACAGAGATGAACGTCCATTATTATGATCGACACACTTTTATGAAAGATGTGGCTGACTTAGAATTACTGTACATTGATATTTTGGGTTTCTTCAGAGTGGATATCTGCTTACCGGCCAGTCCTGATCGACGTTAAACCCTTCTCATGGAGATACTTTTCTGCCATGGTACTTTTCTGCCCAAGAATTCTTGAAAATCTTTGTAAATAACTTGCCAAGTGATTTTTATATAATGCCTTTGTAATAACCTGGGTATTTGATATAGGGAACAATAAAGCCTTCAGTCGATTGTGTAGGAAAATAATTTATATCAAATATTTATGACAAGCTACAGAAACGCCATCATCTCTTCATTCGAATGCCCCTTACAGGCTTCCGTAAAAAAGAGTATTTAGAATAGTAACAAAGTGAGTTTAACAATTACCATATTTTTTTAAAAAAAATAATAATTTGAACCTGCTGATTTACCAAACTTAAGATTTTTATTACAACCTGGTTACAAAATGGTATCAATAATATATAATTTACCGTCCTACAAGAATCGAAACATCTATCTTGTTTATAAAAATAAAATTAATGATCATTTAGTGCCTTAAGATACAGATTACATCAAACTATTTTTATTAACTTCAGAACCGCTCAACAACCTCCAGAAAATAAAAGGAATCTAACATTTTCAAGTTTTTAAGACAAAAACATTTCTTCTTTTAGCCCTTATAGTACCTATTCTATTTACATTACAGGAATATTTGTGTACACATTTTTAACACCTATAGTGACTCTGTTTCAAATTTTAACATTCTAAATAAATATCAATTATTATTTTTATTTCATTGATTGGCTATCTTGTCAAACGTTTGACGTAGTATTGATAAATTCTTTTGTTCTTATTGTAATCACATGTTACACATGAATGGTATACTGTTTTCTTATTTTCATTGTTACTGTCTATTTTGCCAGTCATTTGTATTCAAAGTACGCTTAATCAATACAATGATCAGATAAAGTATTCAGACCATTGAGTAAATGCATTCAATGCTTTTAGAGTTATAGTGGTTATCTTATTTTGAAGCTTAAAACATGACGGTCTTAGCACAAACGATATTTCTCCTTTTTTTTCTTTTAGTTAAACGATTCATTGTAAAATAATAATCTCGCACTGGCATCTCTTGATTGTTTTAATATTTTTCATTCCGTTCGATCCTGTCCCAGCAAAGTCCACGTGAGCAGAACAAGATACCCTTATAAATAAGTCGTTTATATCAATAAAGCTTATCAACATTATAGTTGTAGACATGGCAACTGTTAACCACCGATGTAACATTAAATTACTCTCAACAAAAGAAATATACAACACATAAAGAAATTTAAGCGTTTTTTATTTGCATTTAAATGAACAGATAGTAACAATAAACTACGTAGTCAGTAAACTTGTGCAGAAACATGGCCATTAGTGAAGAAAGCAATGCCATTTTTCTCCAAAACAAGGGAAATGAAATTGAGCTCGCTGGTATTCTTGGCACACTAGGACACGGTCTTGATGTATCATTTTCATCAAAAAATAAGGAATCACAAGTACTGTAGTCAATGATTCTTACACATCCTTGGATTCCCATAGGGCCTGCTTTCAATCCATACATGTAATCATAAAATAGAAGAAAAGCATTAAAAGTTTGTTTTTATAGCAGAAATGGTATTTTAAAGTTCACGATTTTGGTACATCTATATAAATTGTATAATTATTATATATATATAAATATTTGTATTAGTTATACAGATTAATGACAGATTATGGACATATATAAACGGTTGTTTGCGGCACGGGTTATATTGCAAACCAACCGTTTATATTGTATTTATTATCTGCCAAGAATCTTCATAAGCAATTCATAATAAAGCAAACCTCCTTTAATTTAAAAAAAATAAAATTATTTCATTAATTGACAGCAGCCGAACGTCTCGATTATCCAATGAAAAGCGACGTTACAAACGTTCAGATATATAACAATAACCACTTAGGCACCGCGCCACTCCTGTTAATAACTGTAACTCAGTTCCGATAACAATGAATAATTTTGGTAAAACATTATCAAAATATGAAAAAGATATATATTAAGACCAAAAAACTTATTTTTTATTTTAAGGATCTTTTTTTGCATAATTTCATAGACATTATGGAGGGAAATGCGGGGAATAACAAGAATGCTAGTAAATGAGTTTATGCATTAGTTAACAAAATATAATGAATGAGTTTGTCTGAACTACTATATATATATAATATCATTGTTTTCATTGCTAGAATAGATTTTTTTCAGATTTCTCTACCTATATCTCAAAGATCACATGTTTGGCATAATTCATAAAAGTGTAAGTTAGTCTCTCTTAAACACGGAGCATTGCAATAACTATGAAGCTATCTTATAAATTTGAGGTTTATATTACCAGTACGGATATTTTCTGCAGACATATATTCTTTTGGGGGAGGGGGGTAATTTTTATATCATAAAAGGTAAAGTTTTTATGTTATTCAAAAATGGATCCTTCCATGTCTTGTTAAAATATATGAAAACAGTAGCACCAAAAATATGAAAATGTTGCTAATTGATTTTTTTCAATGTTGTTATCTGAAGCTATTCTTTTTGTTAAAACCAATTCTGCAAGAATTGAAAAATATGAGATAACAAAACCGACATGGTTGATGTTTAAGATATATTTCACTCATTTTGAATTCTAGAAAATACATTAATTTTTAAATTGCCATGATGAAAATCCGTAAAGCAATATGTACTTTTTGGGAACAAGCATATTCTCTCAAAAAATCGATTTATTTTATCAGAAAAGAAAATGGAAATACAATAATGTTTCGAATTAACTGACAGTAGTAATTATATTACAAGTTATAAATTTATTATATTATAAGTTATAAAATTTTTTGACTGGTTATATTATGGTCCTATATAAACGGTTGTTTGGAAATATGACCCGAGCCGCTAGGCGAGGGTTATATTGCAAACAATCGTTTATATACGGCCATATAACCCGTAAGAAATATTTTGAACGAATTAATAATACAGCAAGCACCATTTTTAGAGAAAAGTGATATTTCTTCATAAATTGACAGCAGCCGTGTATATAAAACTATATCCAATAAAAAGAGACAACTTACCCACAACAAGCCATACCGCCACCATCTCCACAAGTACATTCTTCACAGTGCGGTGCTGGGGTTGTTGTTGTTTTGGTTTTATTTATACTGGGCGCCGGTTTCCCATATGTCCCAGACTATCGGCCTCTGTTACGATTGCTGGTCGTAGAGCCTGCAACGGAGGACTTAATTCGCCTGCAACGTCGTCGATCGTAGAGCCGCGACGGAGGTCTTTTCATGCTGTCGTTCGTCGTAGACCTTCTCTAGGACCCATTTCCTCGCTTCTTGAACAATGGTTGACAATAGAGGAAAGGCACCTCTTCCGGGAGCAGCAGCTCTCTTTAGGGCCACACCCTTCGCCGTTGGTTAGGTCACACCAGCTAAGTGACCTAACTAGGTCACCCATCTGGTGTGACCTATGCCTTCCGAGCGACGTGCACGCCGCGTAGGGAAGTCGGAAGTGCGGTGCTGGTGATACTTATTTCCCATCCACGATATTTACACGATACATTATCTAACAATTTGGAAATGTATCAAAAACAATTCTCATACTTGCCATTTCACAGTATGATTTAATTAAATCACATTTACATGGTTTTTGAAAGTAGATTCAAATATTTCTTGTTATCTAAGTGGTTTTAACGTTTGAATGAATGGTAGGATATGCTTAGCTTAATGAATTAATAAATGTTAATTATAATCTTTTCTATTTACTATTGTAATTTTTACACAATAACGTGACTTACTGTGATAATACATTTCAATCATTTTTTAAATATATTGTTACATATCTATATGTTTACACAACACGGCTGTGATACCTTACTTTGTTTTATAATAGTAGTAGTTTAGTAGTAGTTTATTCTTTTATTCCATAAGGCAATATGCCCATGATGGCATTACAAGCATGTTATAAATGGCGAACAATGACAAGTAAAATGTACCTTAAACATCAATAATTGGAGAAGTTCGAACATGAATATTACAAACATAAGAGCATACACACACGCGCGCACGCATTCACGCTCGCACGCACGCATAAACACACACACACA